TCAGGTTAGCGTACTATGTTTACCTTGTTATATTACTATGCTGAAGAAACCTAATTACGAAGAATTTTAAAGTTTTATATAATTTACCTTTAAATATATTTAATCGTTAATTTGATATAACAGTGTATTATATAACTTTCAATTCATCATATCTTGATAAAGTCAGTTTCTAGGTCACTTATGATTATTCAAATAAATTGGTATTTAAAAAGTCAAACAAATATTGATATCGAGTCTGTCGCAATTGCTTATTTAAATTGTAATATATAAGCTGTAACATATTTCTAAAATTATGACTTGTGACAACGAATCTGGAAAAGAGTTGAATATTTAAATATGTATTTCAATCTAAGAAAACCCAGAAATTTACAAACGGATATGACGAACTGCATAAAGGTGTTCCTAATACATGGACAAGAAAGGGCTCAATAAAAATTAATGAGGATCCGGTTAAAAGTTAATGTATGGGATCCTTTTAAGAGGTAACACCCTACTTTTCTCATTGTTGTTATAGTATTACAAATATATAATTATGTATCAAGATTTTGACATCTAGATCTGTCTCAAGGCTTTGAATAGACTTAAAATGGTTTTCATTTGAATATAATAGTGTGGAGCGTAAGAACCTCATTATTTGAGGTAATAAATAAAAGCTGAAGAAAGGTTTTTAGTGCCGTACGCGTACTTGTTTATTGAAAATAAATGACCGGGTAAGTCTTGTAGAGGAATAATTTAAGCTTATTGCTCTTTTTGAAAGTGTTACGGATGATATCATTTGTTAAAGATGGGGATGCTCACTCCTCCATGGCACCTGATTCCAGTTCTGATGTTTCGGATGTCCGTGTTTGCTCTGCTCGAATTTGTGTTATTTAATGGAATATCAAGCTTGAAATCTGATTGTTAAGTTCATATATTTTATGCTACAAAACGGGACCTGATTTAGACATTTAAAGAAAAATAATTGATTGAGAGTGACCAATGTCACAATAATTGGTCACAATATATCTCATAAGTACCTGCAATGTTCTGTTATTTGCATTCTCCTTGAATGTTTGCTTTATAATTCATGTAAGCAACAGTCCCGTAGTAAACGTCCCACGGAAAGACTTTCATGAAATGAATTTTCCTTTGAGACAATTTACTGCATATATAACTAAACAATCTTTCAGCAAAATCATAGGATTACTGAATTCATTTTTTTTCAGTCTGTACATTTATAGATTTAATATAATGATAAGCAGAACTCCCTTAAGTATATATCAGGTATTCCCTTATCACTTCTCTTTACATGTAATACCGTAACCCCGGCTGATCTGTCTTTATGACCTATAATAAAGAGAGATGGACAGATTTATGTATTGTCAATAATTGTCAACTGGGTGTTCGGCGCCATGTTTTAGTGGCCGCTGCCTACATGTATACCCAGACCATAGAAGCTAAATATCAAAGGATACTCAGCATTCATTGGGGTTACACCGCGTACCTTTTTTCGTACCTTTCTACAAAGATATTCCTTTTTGTGATTAGCTTCTTTATTTGCACATCTTTAACATCTTCGCTTTTCTGTTTTGCAAGACTATTTTTATATACTCTTCTAGATCTCTGTCTTTCAATCTTTCATTTAGTAGTAAACAACAAAAAAAACCTTGAAAAGGAAAAAAAATCAGTTTTCAGAACTGTTAGCTTGGAAGTAACCTTTTTTATTCTTTAAAATAGGTCAACATTTATTTTCCTAAGATTGCTCTAAAATGAAAAACTTCCATTTCAGACAATGATAAGAATATTTACATGATAGAATATTTCCCTATAAGGTTATGTTCCCAGGCATGTTTATGTTTATGAAGTAATTTATTCCTGTCAAATTTGAGGGAAAATATCCTTATTACCTATTTCATTTTATATAAAAAAAAATTACAATCGGCAATTGACATGGTTTTGTTTCAGAGCTTAAAATGTCCTGATCATTTTGAATGATTAAGATTGCTGTCTAGAATTATCACAATGTAGAATTCTTCTTGATATTAGTAATGAGATAAATCTTCTTATATAAAACTATCTGTGCTTTATATGGAATTCTTATAATACCATCGCACTCTGTTTGATGGTCTTGTAGCATAAATAAAATTGGGGAAAATTACAATAACTATTAATAGAATTGAAATGTCATGTTGGATCACACTGAAAATTATGCCTGCAAGGGGACACACGAATGAATGAATCGTAAATCAAATAGATTCCATATAAGTAAACTTGTGTACCATTTTAAAGGATACAAGGTAACAGATGCCAAAAAGGGATTAAGTACCCAGAAGGTTATTGCGTTTTACACATGTACGTTACCACATCTTTATTTATATCGGATTTTAATTTCGTAGTGATGTTGGATTTCTGCGGTTACATTTTGATTCAAGATTAAATAACCAAAATTAAAGCCCGGACGTTCTCTATTCTAATATATAGATTGTGTACATTCTACTATCACATTTTTTTGATTTAACTGATTGAAGAAAATAAAAGATGCGAATCTTTATTATAGTTATCATAAAATTATCAACAATTTTTTTATTCGAATTGATTTATGTTTTTGTATCATTTCCATATGTGAAATTTCTTTTATGAAGCAGTAATCTGCACATCGTCGCAACCCACGGATTTTATGTCCATTCCAAATTGCCCAAATGCACCTGAGCCAAACCCTAAAATTTTATATTCAATCAAACAAATTGTCGGCTTAATGGGTCAACGTTGCCCTGGTGCACTTTATATTTCAACTTTAACCTCAACTTCAATAATATATCATAGAGCTACCTGCTTTAAAAGAAAAATAAATAAAATCCTGAATCTGAAACTTTCAGAAGGAAAGGCGCCTTAATCTTGTTACATATATAACAGGGAGAAGATAAAATTTCAATAGCCAAGTAAACATTTCAGATTTCCTACTAGGGTTATATTACACTGAGAAATACTATGGTAGATACTTGTAGTTTTATTTGGAGCAAGGCTTTTAGTTCCCAAAGACAAAACGTAAGTTAATGTTGATTAAAGCTTAATGTTCAAATCAATTTTTATTTTAAAGCTTAACATTATAATTAGCGATTAGGTAAGATTGCTCTGTAAATATTTTGTTTTCCCGTAATAAACTCTATTTACATGTAGAACTGCCTATTCGGACAAAGAGGAATAGGAAATTTACAAAAAAAAAGAAAAAGAAAAAAATCAACAACAACAACAACAAAAATAAGCTTTTAAGCATAAAAACATGAGTAAATCAGGACAGAAGGTTTTTAGAATACAAAGTATTTGTTGGTATTAATAACTGTAAATGAATCGAAGCACTTACCTTTAAAATTATCTTTAACTTATATTCATCCATTAGATTGCAAATTTATTTTGTACTATTAAACATTCTTTTTTTATATTTTTAATATTCTAGGATATGATTAACACATACGGTAATATTCACTGCTAAATGGCATAGCTGCCGTACGTTTAAAACTATTTCATTACATATACGTTAATTAACAATTGTAATGAATTAAAGAAGATATTATTTACGATTGTTGTCTGATCTTTCCAATAAAACAATTAGACGAATGAACCCAAAGTTATCAAGTACAGAAAGAGATTCAAGTTACTCAAATGAAGGATAAAGCCTTTGCAAAGGAACAAAAAGAATGATTAGTAGTTTTATATATATATGCATGGGATGAATACTGTAGAACTGCATGTACACCCTCAACCGAATGTCCATTAAAAGGTCTGAGAAAGTCATTGAATGTCAGACGTGCACGTTTTAGTGGACCTCAAGTCACCTTTCAGTCAACTTTATGGGACATTTTTATTCTGTTACATATACTATTAAAAACTCTTACGACGTTTTCGTTTAATTTTCAACAATAATTTGCACGAATGTTAGAGTGATGAATTGTATTAAATAAGGTTTGAAGAACAATGTTTAAAAAAATCTTTATCTCATTCTGAGTTAATGTCTTAAAAACCTTATGATATTTGCGGTTATGTCACTATCATACAGATTCGCAATTCGGATTAAATGTTCTTTGAATAATGGATTCAAAGGAACACAGCAGATCTAGACTTGCAAGTTTCTTAACTTTATTTCAATGGCCCCATATCTGTTTTTCTACCATTTAAACGAAGTAAATGGAACCTTGCAACTTTGAATTTGGAATAAGGCATGCATATTGAACAAGAACAATTCTGAGAATTAGACTTTAATAAACATAACGGACCATGGAACTCATGTGCATGCTTTATCTGAAATATAAGTAATCTAAAATATATTTGTATAACTTGATGCATTTGTTAAAGTCACCCTTTTTTGTTCAAATACAAGGTTTTTAAATTTTGACTTTGAAATGCTTGACAATGAAAATGGAGCGGAAATGAAACAAATTATTTAAGTTTTAAAGCCATATATGGCGTAACTGGTCAAAAAATATATTTTTGAAAAATACAAAATTAAGTAAAGAAATATAGTTAATATATTTAAATTAAAGCTTTTCATACAATTCTGAACACGAAGAACACCTCGTTTCACCTAATAATACAATTTTATCTTCTCTATAATGTGTTAATTGAATCTTTTGTATTTTCTTCCGAGCCGGAGAAAATTCCGAGAATCCAAATTAAATTGTTATATCTTTATAACGCAACTGACTCAGATTTTGTAATTCACGGAAAAGTTCTATCTTTATATAAAGTAATCATACAAATAATAAGTTCTTATAATTTTAGTCTAATAATTTTCAGTGTACATACGCCATATATGGCTTTAAATATCTTCTCATATTCTGTACATTTAAAATCGGTTACTAATTTGTTGAAATGAGTGACACAAGAATGCGTCGAATAAAGATTTAAAGAGAACCGACAAGCAAGGGTGCATAATGTCAACAATCATTGATGTACGTACAACATAGTCCCCTAATATAATAGCTTTTTATTTGTTGCTTATAATATCATATGAAATATTTCTGTAGATATGGCTGCCACAACGGTAGAGATGAACGATATTGATGTGGAATCAGCAAGGAATGGGGACACGAGACACGGGTGAGTGATTTATTAGATTGTTATCGTTTAAAAAACAGTTGTTGTATACTAGTAAAACGGAGGAAATATTGTCTCATTGTCAACACTGAAATTAAATTATAATGCTACGTTTACACTATGTTCCCGGCAGCCACGGCAGCCCCGTTTGCCCGAAACGTAGTGCGCCGTGAGATTTTGGTTATTTTCCCCTCTATATCCAAGTCTTGACAAGTTCTTTTGCGGTCTTCTACGGTCTTCTACGGAATCCGTGATGGGCCGTTATAAGATATAGTTGCCGTGGAGTGCCGTTAAGCTCCACGGCGCAAAATTGGTTTTGCCAATTGTATGCCAGCACGTTCCCCCCAGGCCTCTTAATTTTCTGATAGGTCCCCTCTCGTTTCTCGCGTTCTTATGAAGTTCTTATACGTTTCTCACGTTCTGTCAAGTCTTTCTACGTATGAAACGTATTGACGCCGGGAAGCTATGGATCATGTTTGTGCCAGAGAAGGTCTCCTAACCAGAAACAATCATTGTATCATGACCCTTCGAAGATAAAACTTCATGAATTCCTAAGACGAAGATTTTATTTTCGCGTGTTTGCTGGTTGCATACGTAAAATCACTTTGTCAAAATGAAGAGAACCAGCAGCAGTTACAGAGAGGGAAGACAGGAGTGCAGCAACTAGGAATGAGACGAATAAGACGAATGAGAAGGCTCGAATGAAACTTCTCTGCAATGCCCGGCTTTTATATGCTTCCTCTCAGACCGCGTGCACCGTGTCAGACCGTAGTAGAACGCAACGCACCGGGACCATAAACCTTAACATGCCGCGACGAACCGCGATTGAACGCGAGCAAACGGCTACCATACACCCTAGTTTGCCGTGAGGACCGTGATGAAACGTGGCAGAACGTGATAAAACGGACAACAACCGTGAACTAGCCTTGACAGAACGCGGACTAAATACAGCAAAACGTCTCAAAAGATTTTTTTTACAATGAGATAAAATATCAAATATATTCTCCAACATGTCCCAAATCAATTGCGGACTGCCTCCAATTCTGTTACGGTCTATTACGTGTTGTTGATTTTGTTGCAATTTATTCCGTTTTTACTACGACCTAAACAAAGTTTCACATCTGCAACGTGGCCGCCGTGGCAAATTTTTTGACAGTTTAAAAATCTGGCATCCAGATGCTTCGTGGTTTATAAAGCGTAAACTGCCCCAAGTTATCTTATATCGGATAACATAAGTTGAAATTAGCTTCATTCCTTAAATGTTTCATATTCTTACAGAAAAATAACGGATAAAAGAGGCCAAAATATGCCCCATAAAATACTGACAGCTGCTTTGCTTATCTAATACCTAATAATTAGATAATTATATAATTAGGTAATAAAGAGGTCACCAAATTGAAATAATTATTCTAGAAATTTCACGGGATCTCAAGGTTGAAGTTATATTTCCATTTGGTGTACACCTACATTTGTTTATTTGGTCAATGATTATTATGGTATTATGGTCACATGAGTTGTAATAAAAAATTCAGGAGTGCTTAGGCCAGATGAAGGTCAATGAAATAATAATTTAAACATTAAAAAATTAATTTTTATAACCTACTACTTCAGAAGGAATAGAATACATGTAGAATGAATTTTTGGACATGCGGTGCATTTAAACCCTTACATATGATATACATAATGAATGATGATTGATTTAACATTGAAAACTACTAAAGTTCTAATAATCAATCAATCTATCAGAGCTGTGAAGGATTTAAATACAAGACCATGAACTAAACAATTATGTAATTCAAGTCAACGATAGATGAATATGAATTCTTTTCCCACCAAGGGGTACACTCACTGTGGAAACATGCAAATAGAAATGCGTTTTCCTTCAAAGGTACATGACAACAAATTGATAACAACATCAGTAAGACAGATGTTGCATAACCCCAATACATGAACATAACTACAATACATGAACATAGATATGAATGTTGTAATTCTCTATCAGGGTTAAATGTTTTACCGATAAAATGCATGCACCTTTACGTTGAAGAATACAAGTACCCCATAAATATTAATAATTTAGGATGAATTGAAAATTGTACAGATATGCTCTTTGTTTATCCTTAGCAAAGAATTTTTTTCAACCATCTCCATACATTGAAATTAATGACGTGAAAGCTATTGAAGCTAGAAAAAATACAAAAATCTGAATAAAATATATTACTAACGCATATTTAGAAGTTAATAAGACAGTAAAGCAAACTTTATCAAAAATTAAACTTCCTGGTTAGAACGTGTATTAACCGATCGACATCATGAAAATCAATATTTTTTCATTTGTTATGAAAAGAAAACTAGGTCACAACATTGAGGAATAAAAAAAAAATAAAAGGATATTATAAAAAAAAATCTTATTAATAAAGGTCATTTTAGCTGTTTTTGTTTACAAAATATCAAAGAAATAGGTTTAAAAACCCTAACTGTTCAAGAATGCCATTCATCCCTTTAACGGTGTTCATTTTTCTTCAATCAACATCATTAAATCCAAAATAAATCTTCATTAATTGCAAGTGCTTCGATGCAAAAATACTAATATTCCAAGAATTTTAATCTATTCAGTTATTAATAAATAGGAAACACACATTGTTTTAGGGATTGAACCTTCTTTTTAAAGTATTTTACTTGATCACTTTTTTCAGACAATATATATCTATAATAAAAAAGAAAGAGTTACAAACACATATAATACAGATGAGAATAATATCAAGAACTTTCAAAAATATTTTGGATGTACCAAACGAAAATCGTTAAAGAAAATATATAAATGTAGTTTGTTACATTTGAGCTCAAATGATAAATTGAAGAGTTCAGTGCTAGAAGCAAGAGAAGAGTACTACAGCAATGGTATATCATTGCAATGCCTTTTTCAGGTCTGAGGATGGCAATTATCTTTGGAACATTTTCCGGAAGGACCGACTGCCCGAGGATTCCGAATGCTGTGTGGGGTTTACAGACAAGTTCTTCAGAGTTTTTAAGTTCCTGTTCTACATTTTCCTGTTGTTTGTGTTAATAGGTGGCGTTATTGTCACTCGAGCCGGGCTACAAATTCTGGCGTCACTGCTTGGTGACCATAATATAAGATTTGAAAATGTGAGTTTCGATAAATACATAAAACTTTTTATTTCAGCATTATACCGGTAAAAATAAGAAGAGAAGTAAGTTCTCTAAAAGAATTATTAATTTAATGATTGATTGATTGATTGATTGATTAATGTTTTACGTCGAATCGGCAATATTTCAGCCATATATCGCCGATTCGGCGTAAAACATTAATCAATCAATCATTAAATTAATTTAATGAAGTAAAATTAAAAGTATTATGATGTAATGTATATATGTCTTTGCTATTTGTGTAAGTTACAAATATACTTGTAAATATGAATTATGGTTTTGCTTGCATCTACTTCTTTGAACGGAAACGATTCTTGAAGAGGAGCTGAAAGCATGCTCTAAAAAAGCTTTGAATCAATTTTCTTGTTCTTTATCAACCTACATTGATATAATTTTTCTTGACAATAAAATGTCGTGGAATTCTATATCAAAGTATTACATATTCGAATGACTTACAAAATATGTTCTACGTTTTCCTTTTCCAGAGGACCGTTACACAGGATTTTATATCATACCTATTTTTCTTCGTGATTGCAATACCCGACGCTCTCAAGTTTTTGCAGAGTTTTTTCATGTTTCTTTTTGGTAGCCGTGAAAGTCCAACATGTGCGCGTTTTTTAATGGTAAGTTTTCCTTAAGGTTCAGCGAAAAATATTTTTAAAATATTCAGAATGTTAAGTTATATACATGTACATTGGTAAACTGATGTTAAATACTTAAAAATCTATCAAAAGTATCTAGATAAAAAAATTTGAGGTGTAATATAGTCCCCATATTTGACAGAATTCTTTATTTCTTTCAGATAATCTTCCGTGAGGGGCTCCATCTTTTTGGCCTCGGGTGCCTGCTTTTCAAGGTCATGCCCTACCTTGACCCTCTACAGACGTGTCTCGTGACAATATCTGTGCCCCTATTACCGGCCTTTGTTAACTTGATATCATATTGCCACAGAAAAGCATGCCAAATGCGCAAAGGAATCAAAAAGTTTTTTAACGTCTTCTTCATACTGTTACTTATACCAGCTGTTATAATTGTGCCATATACCCTCTCCCAGTCCAGTGAAAGTAATAGTGCTAAGCGTTGGCCAGACAAGGTAGAGCTCATTGCCTGGATTCTTGTATCGGTGTTCTTGATGTCGGCGAGATGGATAGAAACATACTCCTTTGTGTGCAGGAGATTTATAGAAGATAGAAACGACAAGCGGGTAAAAGATAAAGGATACGTGATTTCACATATGGCATCCAGTATCGTCAGAATTATCCTATTGATCATTCTATTTCCAACGTTTTATTGTCGAGATATTCGAGGAATTAATGATACGTATGATAAATTCATGTCATTGACAGAAGTTTCAGGACTCCTTCCCCAGAACTGTTCTGAATTTCTCAATTTATCGAGCCCCACCATTAACAGTACTGTCACGTGCAGTGACGAGGGGATATCCTACTGGCTTGTGATTAGTTCATTTCTGGCTCATACGATTGGTGCAGTATTAACAACCCATTTTGGTGTTTTAGCTTGTAGATTACGAATGCAGAAACTGGGATTTGCAATTCCATTTACTGTGGCAACACCTCTTTATGTCATTCTGTTGATTGCACTGAATGAAACAGGCAATGACTTTGCAAATGGTTACTTATTGTTGAAAGCCGCCGATAAATGGTTACTGTTTGCATTTTTCTTCATTGGCTGGGTAGGACAAACCTGGGTCTGTCGACATGTTTGGTACACACACCGCGAAGAACGTATGGAATTTGCCAACAGGTCAGTATAACATTATACAATTATTGCATGATTGTGAGGGAGACATGAAGATTTCTTCGCCCATGAAAAATCATATTCCCTGAGGGCAACGCCCGAGGGGAATATGATTTTTCATGGGCGTCGCCGCGAAGAAATCTTCATGTCTCACTCACAATCATGCAATAATTTTTTTATTATATTGAATCAAGCACATTGCCGGAATAGAGTAAACAAAATACGAAACAGGCGTATGTTACAGTACACCACTATATATATAGCGCTTCATAAAAAAAATCCTTTGTGACAATTCAATCTGATTTACTCAGTAGTAACAATCATTCTCCACTCATGGAAACACTTTTCTAAATATTTATATTTTACAATTTTATATCGACATAATTAATCAAAGATATAAACAGAGCAAACCCAGTACATAGTAATCATCATATTCGCCGCATTGTGACGTCAAACTCGTGGAACACGACGTGAAAACATTCGACACACTTTGGCTGAATACACCTAAATGTAGGGAACGATAGTCATCCGAGGTGATCCGAATGCGGGAAACACGACGTTTTGTTGCAGGGCCAACACAACGGTCATGTGACTGCCGCAGCCAATCAGATTCCGTTTTACTTGTGATTATTTATATGAGGTATAATAAAAAAGGATATTCAAATAATGACCATTTTAAATTATTTATATTACAAACTTAATTTTACTAGCATCTTTTCATTTAAAAGAACGCATATTTATTGTTGATTTCGTACCTATAACCTATCACTTTATTTTTCCAGACTGTTTGTCCTACCCCACTTCTGTAGTCCAATGGTGGACCTGGCGCTTTTACATAGTCGGAAGAAAAGAAACGCATCTGAGACAGAGAAACGATCAGATACCTCTAACGTAGACTCTAAGGTCTATATCTGCGCCACCATGTGGCACGAAAATCGGATTGAAATGAAGCAGATTTTGATATCTATATTTAGGTATTACGTATTTTCAAACTTCAACACCCAGTATAATTGAGTTGTCTTATAAATAGAAATTAAAAATGAATTAAATTCGATTGTAAGAATTATCTTTGGTTATAATTAATTATCAAACAAATTATGTTACTAATGCTGCTTTCGGTATTTTGCTGACTTTATTACGAATTTGAATACCAGTATGTCAAAATTTTATAAATTTTCTGTGCATTTAGAATTATGAAGTGTTGTAAATGTTGGAATCAGAGAGCAATCTCTTAATAATGTATAATTTTTAATAGACTTGATCACCACCAGTTCCAGTATGAGTATAGCAAAAACGAACTGAAACATAAAGAAAAAGATTATTACACATTTGAAGGTTAGTGCTACGTGTGAGGTATGTAACAGTATTATTGAAAAAATGCATACAAAATAGAGAAAGAAAACTTAGTGTCTAAAATATGTAAGAGAGTTTGAAAGTCTAGAAAAGTAAAGCGATAGATTGAACGGTATTATGCAAAACAGTACCAAACCACTAAAAGGGCTTTGTGTTCCATTTAATAGCACACATTCCTTTCGATGATGCCATGGAAACCAATAAAACAACAAATAAAAGAGGTCCAAACGATTTCGTCAGGCAGTTCATGGAAATCGTGGATGAAGCGGCCAGGTGAGTTTAAGTTGAATCAACATATAAAATCTGAGGATAGCAAACACTAATCATTCTAACTTCAGGAGAAAATCGAAACGTTAACAGTACAAGCACCTTTAAAAAACCTTAGGTGGGATCAGGTGCCTAGGAATAGTAAGCATCCCCCTTTGATCGGTCAGAACCACCTTGAGTTCAATGTATTGAACAGGTATACGGAGTTCTTCTTAATCAATTTAAGTAGCGGCCTATAAAACAATGATTGAACAAATGGTATGAAATCAGGTATACGTAAATGTCCCAAATTAGGTTTTGTTCACAAATAAAATCGTTACTATGACTGCAAAATTCCAAAAAAAGTTTACTTTAATTGTGACTTGATTAAAAGGGATTTTTCCCTATGCATGTTATTGTATATAGAACTTTGGAGTAAAATAATTAAGATAAGGTAAGTTGATAATGAAAAAAATTGAGGTCGTATTGTTATTTCTTCTAAATCTCCATTGAAAAAAGATATTTAGTAAAATTCCTCAAAACATTAATGTGCATGCATTTACATTAATGTTTTGAAAAGTCGTATTGATAACATTTCTGATCGTAATTTATTTCCATTCAAAGTGCTTTTTACCAAAGAAAAGTTGTACTGGATCCGCCCAAAAAATATGTAACTCCTTATGGTGGGCGCTTGGAATGGGAACTTCCTGGAGAAAATAAATTGATTGTCCATCTTAAAGACAAAGAAAAAATACGTCACAAGAAAAGGTGGTCGCAGGTAAATAGATACAACTATGACCGAAGTAATCGGTGTTAATTATGATATAAACAGTGAGCTTTGAAATATAATTTTTTTTATTTTTAGAATTTTAAGGTACTTTTTTTGTAGATCATGTACATGTACTATTTCATTGGATACGAACTTCTCATGAAAGAGAATAAACCGACAACCGGACCAAATCCAAATTTTGATGACGTGCCTTCAATATTTGAATTACTCTCTGAACAGGTGAAGCAAAAGGTGAGATATCTATTTTGCTATTACATTGTATTTGTACAAAATACATACAATTTTTAATATGCATGCACCCTGTTTATTAATTGCTCTCTGTGCGGGAAAATGACACAATTTTATCTCATTTAAATATTTTATAGACTTTTTTGAAAAATCATTTTGCACAGGCTGAAAATTCCTACATCCTGGCACTTGATGGTGACGTGGACTTCCAGCCAGAAGCTCTGCAGCTTTTGATTGACCGTATGAAGATAAACCCCAAAGTTGGTGCAACATGTGGACGCATCAAACCTGGAGGGTCAGGTAAACAGTAACATATAAAGAACTAATAGTATATAAAGGGAAATCTTGGGAAAAATAATAAAATAAACATAAAAAAATAAAGGTATTATTGTGCAACTATTTTTTCCATGTATATTGCCAATGGGTGATCTAACATGCAATGTGAAGTTAAAAAATAATATGAATTTCATGATTTTTTATTAATTGAAAGAGCATTTTGAGTTCATTCACTTCTTGTGATATGCGAACAGGGCCTGTGGTCTGGTATCAGCGCTTTGAGTATGCAATTGGTCACTGGCTTCAGAAGTCTGCAGAACATATGTTTGGATGCGTACTCTGCAGTCCTGGATGTTTCAGTCTGTTTAGGATGAAAGCTCTGATGGACGATAATGTAATGAGAACGTACGCGACATTACCCACTGAGGCACGCCATTTCCTCCAGTATGACCAAGGTACGTAATACAAAATTGTTATACGGTTATTGCCAAGAAAGTATGCAAATGTATTTTCACAAAGGATAATTAACTGGTTAGAATGTCAACTGAGAATAGAACTAGATTTTGAATTTCTTTCTTTCTCTTTTGCATCGAATTTTTCCATACGAAAAGATCTTTATTTACATTCAATTAAATCAGCACAAATATTTTGTTACTATAGTGGCATTTATATTTAACTGTTACAAAATTTCTTCTACAGGAGAGGATCGATGGCTTTGCACTCTTATGCTGCAACAAGGTTACAAGATTGAATACTGCGCAGCAGCAGAAGCGATAACCTTTGCCCCGGAAGAGTTCAAAGAATTCTTTAATCAGAGAAGACGCTGGATGCCCTCTACAATGGCTAACATTTTGGACTTGCTACAAAGCTACGCCCGTACAACAAAAATGAACCCAAACATTTCATATTTCTACATTTTTTATCAAATAATCTTATTTGTATCATCCGTTTTAGGTCCTTCAACCGTTTTGCTGGCCCTAGAGTCTGCCGTTGCCTCAGTCTTTGGTGTAGCACCTTGGTTGGCCTATCTTTTGACATACGGCCCAACAATAATCTTCATATTCGTTTGTCTTAAATGTAAAACCGATACCCAACTGAACTGGGCGATGGTTTTGAGTGCTATATACGCCCTATTGATGATGGCAGTATTTGTAGGGACTCTGGTGTCGATTGCTAGCGAGGGTTGGTATACCCCAACAGGAATGTTTTTCTACATTCTTGTTGGCACATTCCTAATTGCTGGCCTTCTTCATCCACATGAATTCGGTGACCTTATTTGGGGAATCCTTTATTTTATTTGTATTCCAGCAGGATATCTTTTCTTGATAATTTACGCAATCTGTAATTTGAATAATGTGTCGTGGGGTACGAGAGAAAATAAAACGGCAGTTTTGGAAAATGCTGGACAGGGTGGTAAAAAGAGCAAAAAGAAGGAGACAGAGGACGAAATAGATTTTGTTACAACGGAAATGATCAGTGGAATGATAAAGCAAGTTAAGAACACGAACGTTTCAGGAGCTTCTTGTTCCGAAGCTTTCTTCTCCGTATTCCGTTGGATGAATAACCTTGTTATATTAAAATCTCTGGAGTCTGTTCAAAATATATTCGAAAAAAGCAAAGACGAAACTGATCAAGGATCTGATCAGGCAGTTGGCAAGAAATCACTGCTCAAAAGTAGGCGACACAGAATACCAAAGATTGACCCAAATCAATTAGACGAAACGTCATGGGCGTTAGAAGACGTGAGAACGACGAAAATATCTACATTAGACCAAAAAGAAGAGAAATTCTGGAAGGGATTAATTCAGCATTACCTTTATCCATTAGACGAAGATAAGAAAAAACAAGACAAAGATAAAGAAATGTTGGCTGAATTAAGAAACAAAGTGGCTTTTGGATTTTTCTTCCTAAATGCACTTTGGCTAGCGATTATGACAGCGATGAACGAAGTGAAATATATTATAAACATTAAAATAACAGATTCAGTGACCATCGAACCACTTGGGTTTGTCTTTTTAGTTGTTTTCACCATATTGCTGCTGTTGCAGTTCTTTGGTATGCTACTGCATAGGCATGAGACCCTTCTTCACATCTTAGCTATAACTAAACTTTTCAAAAGAAAGACACATGACATCAAGAAAGACATCGGGGAACTTGCAAAAACCCCTGTGAATGATGACAGTACCAGCTTAAATGAAACCGATGATGATGACGACGACGCCATTTACTGCAATGAATCTGTAATTAAAGAAATTGTAGAAAAGAGGAAAAATGATTTAGGTAGAAGTCACATCGGGCACTATGAAAAACGAAAAAGTCAGGGCTTAAACCTACGAAAAACTGTACGAAGAAACTTAAAGACAATGGAGCGACGTGGACAAAGAGGTTATACAAATCAAACAATACAGGAGTAAATTAAGACCTCTTTTTTTATAAAGTTCTATTGAATTATATTGAAAACGATGTAGAGTTAATCGGCAAAATGTCTAAAACAATATCTAGTAACGAACAAACCAAAAAATCTAAATTATAACATTATATACCGATCGTTTTAACCCTTCACATTCAGGATGTATAATTTATATAATTAATCTATTGCCTTCATGATTGAAACTTTTAAATCTCGGATGATAAAAGTCTAGACAAATGAACTGAATTTATGATATGTTATTTTTTTGTGCATGTACTTATATAAATAAAGATATTTTATCAAACTCTTGACATGCTGTTCAAAAACATGCAATGCAGGTTAAGAAGTTATCAGATTAAACCGCCTATCCTCTTTTGATTTAATATCATATTCATACATATTTACAGATAGATAAAATTGTAATTTGTACGAGGGCCGTTCAAAAATTACGCGGACTTGTTGCACAGAAGAAATATTTGACGACATAATCGGGCAAAATTTCACAAATATTATAAAAGAATCTTTACTTATACGGTCATCAAAATTTCATATCAAAATATTGTAAATTGGTATTAATTTTGAGTGATTTTTCAAGACATACCATTAAGTCACGGCGCAGAAAAATCTTCAACGTCACAAGCATTATAAAAAATATGTGATTGAGCTTTCATTTTCTCAACATTTTCCCTTGAGTACCTGTATAGTTTGAGTTACCTTATCTACTCAACACCAAAACACCATTTCTTGTCAAGCTTAAAATCTATTGAACAAGTAAAGAATACTCTTTTTTTTTTGTTTTAAAACCAAAAACTACAGATATAGTGTGATATTGGTGACTCTCAATCACGTTCTTTACAGTCCGGATAAAGTTAACTTTTCGTCTATAATCTTCTTTCAGTCCTCCCGTATAGCCTTTTTATAGAGGTCTAACTGTCTAAAATTTCAATTTGCTATTTGTGGGCGTATGTCACGAGTAGTCTAGTTTACTACATGTTTTATTATGCATATTTTGGATATATGTTGCCGATATCTCGAGCATGACACATATTTTAACAAAAGTGTGGTGCGCCGTCAATTCAGGAGACGTCATTTTCACAGTCGTTTTCACGGGAATCGCATCAGAGAAAAATCACTATATTTCTGTTAGTACTTCAAATATTACGTCCGAAATCTAAATAAATAATAATAGAACAATTTAAAGGTACATTTGAGAAAATTGTTGAAAAATATCGCGAATTTTAGAAAATCAATGGGTTAAATTTTAGAATCCGCATGCTTTTGCTTCATTTTTTTTTTTGTCGTGCGCCGTACCTCTCCACCAACGATATCAACATACCGATAATTTTAGTGGAATTTTTTTTAAAATACAGAAATTTTGCCCAAAATTTATTGGAATCTTTAAGATACATATTTCTGTGAAATTTTATAACTATATGACGTCTGTAAGAGTAAATAATAGCACAGTCCGCGTAATTTTTAACGGCCCTCGTATTTGTCTGCATTCGTGACTAAAAAGTAAACTGCTTGGCAATGCAGTATGACAGTAAAATAGGACTCGTCTGTTTGTTTTTCGTAACGTTCCTTTGAGAATCTTTCACTCATATTGAGACGCCTCCACTTGTCGGCGACAGGCTATTAATAGTAAAACCTTTACTTGGCTTTTATGGCCTTTGAAATGCAAGAACTCTCTTTTGATTCAGCATCAACTGCGACACAGGATATCGAATTCTACATTCTCATCCGCAGGACCGGATTGCATATTCCAAGATATGGTTCGAGTAGGTACTGTAAAATCATACTTTCGTTGGAAACTGTTGGTTTGTGGGGATGTAAATTTGTGGACGAAGAATTGTTGATTAGTTATGTAATTTAAAACATTTTACATTTTGTGGTGGATATGAATTCGTGTGTCTCTTCATACTTCGAAAACAATGAAAATGAAATCCCTACGAAAATTGTGATTTCACAGTAATCTAAGGATCAATTCTAGCCTGGTTCCTTTGCTCATCCTTGCTTGCCTTGTCGCGGAGGATAATCCAATTCAATTTATTCACGCAAAACCATGTAAATGTTACATGAGGTACAGAAATATATAAAACATATTTACGTATAATACAGTGGGTTAAGCAAAAGGTGATACATAAGGAGAACAGACAATACTATTAATTTGAGAAATGAATGTACACCTAGCAGGGATAGGTAACTCCACAAATCTTGAGCAAACGCTCCTACCACTTCTTAACGCGGATAATAGGTATAAGACTCAAGTTTAATAACAAACTTACAATGTACATTTAACAGTTTGTAAGATAAGTGATGCATCATTTCCACTGAAAAAAAAAACTTCTAATTTTGAGTATGCCCTCGAAATTGTTTCTCTCAATTAAGTAAAGACACACATTCATATTGTTTTGCTCTGTCTGTTTGTCAACTTTAACTTTCGCCGTGACTTTTGAACCATGAGAGATAGAGACTTCATATTTGGTATGCATACTCCACTAATTGACTTGCAGCAAGGTCAATGACTATGCTTAAAATAGCCTTTTTGAAACTTCGCCATAACTTTTGAACCATAGGAGATAGAGACTTCATACTTCAATAATTAAGTTCTTTCAAACGAAACCAGGTCAATGACCTTGTGACCTTGACTGTGACCTATATGCAAAAAATAGCTTTTTAGAACTATTTCTATATAACCTGATTTGGTTTGGGGACACACAAGCCAGCTGAATCATCTAAATCCATTCAACTCTCACATTTCCAGTCCTTGGGAAGTTCCAGATTAAAGAAACATAGCTTTATTTTAAACAATGGCTCGATCTTACCACATGTAAACAAACATCATGATAGCTAGATCTATGTACCAGTTATTACCTCCCCTTGCTTCCTATCACGTTCGTTACTACGGTTGTATTTTTGAGCGGCATATTTCAACTCATAAAAAGCAGTGCACCCACAATTGTTTAATGATTTTAAAATTAAATTATAAGGAATGGCTCTAATTCTTGGCAAAATTATTCGAGTATAACCTGGTTTGGATCACTTTTCTTCTATTTATATTCTTTTTTTTTATATATATAAATCGATTCGTTAAATAAAGAACATATCGCAGAAAATAACGATATTATTCAGTTTATCGTCTAATTTGTTTTATATGAAAATATTATCTAATGTTTTGTAATTTTTCCGAATGGCATTCTTATTCAAATAAAGCATATTAAATATTTAGTTTTTTTTTTACAACACTTCTTTAACGTTATCTTTGTGTAAGTATTAAGTTTGTAAATTATTTTAATATTCCATTAAACATCAGAGGCTTTATGTATTGAAAAAAGATTGAAACAACCAGAAATAAAGATTCTGAAAAAAACTGTTGCTGTTGGTGTTAGTTTTGCGAATTTGCATTGAAAGTAGATATACATTAAATGGAGTATAGTTTTTTTTGTAATATATTCAAAATCCTGTTCAAAGAGATTAAACATAGTGTATTATGTCTTTTCTTTTAAAGTACTCTTATTCACATTAGTATTAGGTTTGTAAATTACATCAATGTACTTATTTTCAATTGCACAACAGACATGACCTTCTCTTGTATTTCATCGGTTTGCAAGTCATAATTTAGAAATAATTGAAAAAAGTATTTTTTTTTTTTTGGAAATTTCAATCTTTATATGTATAAATGTCAGAAGAATCTTATATATGTCATAAGCAGCAATATAACACTCCAGAATCAGTACAAGGGCAAAGTACCACAGATGTTATTTTACGAACAAATTGAAATATTAATTTTGATTGGCTGAGGTACGTTCTCAAGACAATATAAAGAAATACTTGCAGTCTACAGGAATATTCTAACTTCCCTGTATTAAACGTAAATAGAAACTGATTTAATGAAATTTAACATTAATATTCATACTTCTGTTTTTTCTTTGACTGTTTTGAGGTCTTTCATTATAAAAAATGTCAAATTCAGGTGAACCCTGTTTGTTAATCTTCAGTATAATTATCATGTAGACTCAGTTTGTAAATCCTTAACATACAAGTTATTTGCACTTCGTAAAATTAAGAAATTTCTTCCATTTAATACCAGAAAACTTTTTTATAATGCATATATTTTGCCTTCAATAAACTATTATCTTACCATTTGGGGTAATGCATCTAAAACTAGCATTGAAAGAATTCATAAACTTCAGAAACGGGCTGCTAGAATTACTCTTGATGCAGCACCTGACGAGCCATCAAAACCATTGTTTGAAAAACTGGAATGGCTAACTGTGTTTGAATTAGTCACGCTACATAAGTATATTTTATTGTACAAAACTTTTTATGGTATGAGCCCTGAATATCTCCAGGACCTTTTTGTTTTTCATAGCCATGATTCTTGAATTACATTATAATCTTCGTTTACCAAAACATCGAACAATTTTATTTACAAATTCTGTTCAATATTAAGGTGTAAATTTATGGAATAACCTACCATTACATGTGAAATTGTCACCATCTTTAGCTATTTTTAGACGAAATGTAGAAAAAAATTATAATTAGCCAACGTCTGTAAATAAATGTTTGTATATATCCTTTGTACATGATATATGATTATTACTATTGTTTTAAAAAGTCTCCTGAACAATTATTATTGACTTCTTTATTTCGAGTCTTTATTCATTAGCTGTACATTACATTTAACTACTCATGCATTAACGAACTTTACATGTTTTATCTTTGATTGTATCATTTTATGTAAAATGTTGTTTGAATTTAGAAGGCCCCGGAGAAGAATAGTACCTTGTACTACTCGGGTTACCTTCTCTTAATAAAGCATTATTATTATTATTATTACCATATAGTTTATAAGATATTGAACTTTACATAATCTTTTAATATGTACTACTTATTTTATATAAAACGATAGTGAAGAATCAAAATATCACAGTAATTAAAAGTATTAAAGTAGGTATTATTTAAAATTCTCGATAAAAAAAATGCAGTCCTTGAACATTTAATTGTGTTTCTTGAAATAGTTATCTCTCTTTCAGCTTGTTGATAATATACACTGTAGATTATGCTAATGCATTTCACAGTTCAGTCGAACTCAAATTCACGAAAGTTAAAGCTTCACTGAGTTTATTTAAAAAAAATTGTTCAAAAGGATTTATATCCCATAATAAAAACTATACAAAAATCATTCTTGTACACACTGATTGAGGAAATATTAAATTATACATAACGAAATCAGTTTGAATAGTGACTGTGATAAATCATAATTTAAAAAAGACATAAATTTGTGTAAAAAAAAATATTAGAAAAAGGTTCCTTGTCAAAAGGCATATCATTTCATTAAAGTTTTTTGTGTGAATCCTGAAGCTCATTAGATCAAAGAAGTTATTAGAAATACACAGATTATTTTTTTTCTTAAGTTTACTTTTTTAAAAAAAACCAGACCCGGAATGCGGTAAGGGTGTCAACGTATAATAACATTGTGAAAAATTGTTATGCCAAATCCAAATTAAGTTCTGTTAAATCAAAATTACCTTTTCACATTTAATCTACAATAAATTTTATTTTTCTAAACATAATTTATGACGTGTATTTTTTTTTTAATCTAAAAGCTTTTTAGTGGTAGGAATGTGTGCTCTAGAGTCGCGCAGTACCACTGTGGGTATTGAAAAAAAATGAATAAAATTTTTCAAACTTTAATTGTCAAGGTGACAGCATATGACTTGGTTGTAATTGTCAATGTAACAGCATATACTTGGGTGTCATTGTCAATAAGATAGCATATACTTGATTGTACTTGTCAATAAGACAGCATAAGACTTGGTTCTAATTGTCAATGCGACAGTATATGACTTGGGTGTCATTGTCTATGCGACAGTATATGAGTTGGGTTTCATTATCAATGCGACAGCATAAGACTTGTGTGTAATTGTCAATAAGACAGCATATGACTTGGGTGTCATTGTCAACATGACAGCACATGGAATAGAAATGAATGTATTAGTTTTTCCTTTGATCGATGTATCAAAGAAAAAAATGGACGGAAAATTTTCCTTTCCAATTTTTACTTTGATGAGCTAATAAATCTAATTACTTATACTTTTATGACAGCATTTTACTTTGATGTTATTGTCAATATGATAGCATGACTGTGTGTCATTGTCAATATGACAGCATATGACTTGGGTGTCATTGTCGATATGACAGCATATGTCTTTGGTGTTATTGTCAATTTGACAGCAGATGACTTGGGTGTCATTGTCGATATGACAGCATATGTCTTTGGTGTCATTGTCAATATGACAGCAGATGACTTGGGTGTCATTGTCAATATGACAGCAGATGACTTAATTGGGTGTCATTGTCAATATGACAGCAGATGACTTGGGTGTCATTGGCATATGATTTGGGTGTTCGTTTGTTGTTTAACTTACCTTTGAGAATATTTCTCTCATAGTGAGACGCCACCAATGGCGGTGGAGAGCTACACATTTAGACCTGTGCTCGGAACTCAGAGTCATCAAGCTCTAACAACTGTGTCATGCGGACGAACAGTATACAGTTATTGACTGGGATAGAGGGAAACAGTCGATCTGTTGGGCCGGGATGCGAGCTTGTAATCCGGTCCAACATGTCGACTGTTTCCCGAGACTCATGTCTACAACTGTTTTGTTATACTCCTACCAAATCAAATTCATATATTTAACAAAAGTAAAATTGCTTTTGGAGAGAGAGACTTTATCATGTGTATTTATCGGCAATCATGAATCATAACAAGAATGACATAACAAACAGTTCTGAAGCTAAAAGTCATTATTAAGTTTGATTGGATGAGGTACGTTTTCAAAACAATATAATAAATACTTGCAGTCTAAAGGAATATTCTAACTATCCTTTATTTGATTAATGGTTAATAGATTCTGATTTGATAAAATTTAACCCTGATATTTCTATTTATTTTTTTATTTGTCTGTTTTGAGGTCTATCATTATTAATACTTTCAAATTCAGGTGATCTTTTGTGTTATCTTTGAGTTTATAAGATGCTGAACTTTGAATAATCTTTTTAATGTGTACTTTTATTTACAGAACTACTTATATAAAAGATGATAGAGAAGAATCAAAGTAAAATAGTAGCTAAAAGTGTTAGAGGTGATGTTATTAAAAGATGTACTTTACTAAGTGAAATATACCATGTATTGGTATACCATGATAGACGTTTTGAGATGACACAAAACAATTTGAGTAAAACAGCACCTACATAAAATAGTCCCTTTTACGATAATGTTTTTGTGGAAATTACATTAGAAAATTTTGATTTCTGATACATGCTTATACAATGACATGCTGTATCAAAGCTAGATTTCTCGATGAAAAACTTTCCCTCATGCAGTCCTTGAACAATTTATTGTGTTTCTTGAAATAGTTATCTCTCTTTCAGTCGTTTGTTGATAATATACATTGTAGATTGTAAAATGCATCTCACTACACAGTTGAGCTAAAACTCATGTAGTTTAAAGTAGGGATGTCAAGCTTGTCAATAATTGATATTCGAATACTAGTATTTGATAGGAGTATTTCAATATATTCCAATATTCGATAAAATAATACATCTTGCATTATAAATTATATATCTTCAATATCTTGTCAATCAATTTACCTTTTATGCCATTATGTTGGAATACAATTTCATGTAAAGTTTTGTTAATACACAGTAATTACATTTATTTTTGAAAAATATATGAAAAGTTTACATCCAAGATGTAATGATTTTTTTCTGAAAATTCAAAAGATTCTTTCGTTTGTTCCAGATTAATTAATCGTCTTACTATAGTCTGCACTGATAACTCTTACAAATTTGTACATGCAGAACAATTATCTAATAGAGAAAAATTAAAAGCAATTACTTTCATTTATTATAGCTAATTAATTTCCTGATCATGATTGTTAATGATATTAAAAAAAATGGATCCATGAGTTTACAGTAAAACAGTGTCCTTTCTACTATAGAAACTAATTGTAAGTACTGTACATTGTTATATCACTAAGTAAACTAATTTGTAATAAGTAAACTTATTTTTATAGATACACTCTTCACACTTTTAAAATATAATCCAAGAGGAGTGTCTTTTAATTTTGTTTAAAGACAAATCTTATTGCTGGTTAATTCTGCATATCCCAGCGCAGTCTGTCGGATATGCGCCGTTATCGCAGACGCAGTTATTAGTTATTCATTTATTGCGAAATTGCAACTCTTAGTGTTTTAGAGGAGTTATCGTCCTTTTCCATCATGATGAAGCGAGGCTGAGACGTTGCAAAACAACAAGAAATAGAAAATCGATTTTCTAGCCAGAAGTAGGCGGTATCGTTCTAATTTTTTTACCTGTGACAAACGGTAAGGTGTTACTTTCTCGGGATTTGCGATGATTCTTAGTGGATGATTGAAAATGTAATGCTGAAGTTCAATAATTTCCATTCACAAAGCCCGAGGAAAGTAGCACATGCTGAATCGCACTTGTTCAATATTTTAGTTTTAGAAATGGGAAATAGATACGAAATAATCTGAAATTGAGCAAAATATTTATACGTTAATTGCTTAATCAATAACGTTAATTTATTTATAATGAATAAATAAAAATAAGTAAACAAATTATGAATAAAAACTTTCACGTATAGAGATTATTGTAGGCCATAAAACATGCCGCCACGGAAATATCGAAAATCAAATAGTCCATATGCCAGGCCAGCGCCAGCCATAGCCACATCATCGGCACCGCCCCAAGCCACTGGCACAGTCACCACACAAAGCCATGCTCCTACTATAGATGTAGTGACGTCATCACCAGCACCAGTGCCCCCAACCGATGCAACCAGGATAACACAGAATCTGGTTCAAGATACAGCAGGTACAAGTACAAGTGTGGGAGTTGAACCATTAGCAGGGTGGGAAAAGGTGCTTGGCTGGGGAAAATGGACATTAAAAGAGTTGAAATTAAGAGCAACAATGTTAATAGTGATCTTATGACCCCCAATGCTGTAGACAACACATCATTTAAGTTGGGGTTTAACGTCAATGCAAACTTTGTCAGCAAAGCAATTAGAGGAAGTAGGGCATTCAATAGGCGATTTTATAACGCAATGATAGGGATCAAAAAACCCCACCACTACATTAGAGTGACATCTGCCATTAAACAAGACCTTCAAGTTTGGCTTAGATTTCTTGAAAATTTCAATGGGTCAACATACTTTCAACAAAATCAATGGGACTCAAATTCCAGCTTACACTTGTTCACAGATAGTGCAGGAAACGCAGACCTAGGCTGTGGGGCCATATTTGGAAAAAAATGGGCATTTCTTAAATGGCCCCCAGATTGGAAAAACATGAACATTATGTCAGACATAACATTCTTGGAATTAGTACCAATAGTTTTGTCAATAATAAGCTGGAAAAACCAGTTGCGGAACAAAAAAATAATACTCCATATAGATAACATGGCATTAGTCAGTGTAATAAATAATCAATCATCTAGGTCAGATAGAGTAATGTCACTTCTTCGCCCCATGGTATTAGTTCTGATGGAAAATAACATATCATTTAAAGCACAACACATTGAGGGTAAAAACAATAACGCTGCAGATGCTCTTTCTCGTATGCAGTGGCCTCGTTTTCATCAAGAAATGCCGGACGCCGAAGCCGACCCAGTCCCAATTCCACCCGAATTCCTCAAGTTACTTTGGACATTGAAGTAGATCATCTTTTAAAGTCTTCTCTGGCATCTAACACAAGTCAGGCCTATGCTGTAGGGCATAAAGCATTTGAAACATTCTGTAACAGTCAAGGGGTAACTCAAGTCTGGCCACCAGACTTGCAGCAAATTATCAGGTTTTTAGGCTATTTGTCAGTCAAAGGATACTCATCCTCCACAGCTTGCAATTACATATCGGCAATAAGTTTCAAATGTAAAACCCAGTTTTTCGTAGACCCAACCAAAGCATACATAGTCTCTAAACTACTAGAAGGTTTTAGGAGAACACAGCCCACTTCAGATCAACGCAGACCAATTACAACAGAAATTTTGAATAAGATTATCCCAAGCTTGCAAACAATATGTAATAGTAAATACGAAGCTTGTCTTTTTGCTGCTGCATGTTCTCTTGCATTTTACGCATTACTAAGGGTGGGGGAATTCTCATTAACAAAGGGTAACACAACAGCCTCCCTTTTGGCAATTACGGACATAAATATATCTCAAAACATGTTGGAAATTACTGTTCGTTCCTCAAAAACCGATCAATATGCCAAGGGCTGTACTCGAACAATACTAGCAACTCAGGGTGTTTCCTGTCCAGTTAAGAGAATCCAGGAATTTCTGGAAATTCGACCCGCTATTCCTGGTCCCCTGTTCTGCCATTTTAGTGGTAGGCCTTTAACAAGTTTTCAATTTGCCTCGGTACTAAATAAGGCAATTAGATCAATTGGGCTTAATCCAGATTATTATAAAACACATTCATTTCGTATTGGGGGTGCATCATGTGCAGCAGCAATAGGAGAATCAAGTGAGAACATAAAACATGCAGGGCGTTGGAATTCCAATTGCTACAAATCTTACATTCGTCCATGTAGTAATAATCAAAATTAATTCAACTACTAGTCTAACACAAAACAAGATTTTTCAGATTCTCCAAGGGTATGGTTAGTTGGATCATCCATCATACGTCATGCCTTTCTACACTCCTTGACTTCCCCAATGGGTATTAATCTCCAACTGAATGCACAAATTTGGTGGCAGGGTTATGGCGGCTTAACACTCAAAACTCTGCAGAGAAGGATAAACCATATAGCCAACCTTGAGGATGCCCCTAGCGTTATAGTTATACATTGTGGAGGAAATGATATTGGAAAAACACAAACTCAGAAATTGTTAGTGAATGTACAGGAAGTGCACAAATTTTTATCTCTTAAATTTCCCTCTACAAAACTTGTATGGTCTGAATTGTTGCCTCGAATTAAGTGGCGTTACTCAAACAATATCAGAGCAATGGAAACAACACGAGCTAGAATAAATAGACAGGGAATGCGTTGTTTCCTTAATATAGGCGGGGCCATATATCACCCACAATTCAAAAATAAGGATGAATATTTATTCAAAGTAGATGGAGTACATCTATCCAAAGAGGGAAATGAGATATTCTGTCAAAACCTTAAAAGTGGCCTGCAACAATTCCTGAAAAAGTGTTGAAATTCTCTGAGATTTGGGGTCCGCGGTGGAATCATTGTGAGTGGTTCTTGCCAACATGGGGGTTTCACTATACAGTATGAAGTACTAAGTGCTGATGGTCGTATAAGGGACCCCCTTGTTGGCGAGATCTTCCGATCTTGTGGCGGAAGAACCACTCAAGTTCAATGACAGATATAAAAACTTACTGAAATGTACCATTCCATATTGTGGGGGATGCTGACACACATGCGAATCAACCCGGTGCTGTTGGCATCCCTTCATAATTGATTGTAAATATGTTGTCATTGGTAAATACAATTGTTGAATTTGATGTTGATGAAAGACAAACTGAAAGTCATTGAAATATTGACAATTTGATGTTGACGTTGATAATACAATGAAGTTGTTGATAATGTTGAAATGTTGATCTAACGTTGAATGTTGATATAACTTGTCATTAATATCTCATAAAATGTAAATATGTTGTGTGCTTGGGGCTTGCTCTTGCTAACTGGCATCCCCTTGCAGTTGTATGTTGTTTCATTATAATTTAATGTACTTATTTCCACCGCGGCCAAAAAATTGCCACAAGTAAACTTTAAACTTTTAATTTGTTGTGTGGTCTTTGCATACAAGTTCTGCGATAATTCTGCATATCCCAGCGCAGTCTGTCGGATATGCGCCGTTATCGCAGACGCAGTTATTAGTTATTCATTTATTGCGAAATTGCAACTCTTAGTGTTTTAGAGGAGTTATCGTCCTTTTCCATCATGATGAAGCGAGGCTGAGACGTTGCAAAACAACAAGAAATCCCACCCTCCCTACCCATTCTGCATATGATTAAATCTGTTTTTATTTTTAAAATGTATTACTGCCAGGTATTCTATATTTTGTAGCATTGGTGAATTCCCCTTTGGTCAACAACATAACTACCTCTATTGTCGCGGTGGAAAGCTCGGGAGTTGATTTACTTTTCTGAATGGGTGCTGCGGAAGAACCACTCAAGTTCAATGACAGATATAAAAAACTTACTGAAATGTACCATTCCATATTGTGGGGGATGCTGACACACATGCGAATCAACCCGGTGCTGTTGGCATCCCTTCATAATTGATTGTAAATATGTTGTCATTGGTAAATACAATTGTTGAATTTGATGTTGATGAAAGACAAACTGAAAGTCATTGAAATATTGACAATTTGATGTTGACGTTGATAATACAATGAAGTTGTTGATAATGTTGAAATGTTGATCTAACGTTGAATGTTGATATAACTTGTCATTAATATCTCATAAAATGTAAATATGTTGTGTGCTTGGGGCTTGCTCTTGCTAACTGGCATCCCCTTGCAGTTGTATGTTGTTTCATTATAATTTAATGTACTTATTTCCACCGCGGCCAAAAAATTGCCACAAGTAAACTTTAAACTTTTAATTTGTTGTGTGGTCTTTGCATACAAGTTCTGCGATAACAGTACGAACTTGTTTCAACTTTGATAAAACTTGCCAGATTTTCCCTCTTTTAAATGCTTGTACATGTATATCTAAAACCCGAATATTCCAATCATAACTTCATTTTCGAATATCAATTCGTCGAATGGAATATTCGAATATTCGTTGACATCCCTAATTTAAAGCTCCATTGAAATTTCTGCATTATAATTTTAATATTTCTCATCAATACACAACACAATTGCCCGTTTTCTTAAGTATTAAGAATAAAATTATAGTTTGTGAAAGTGAAAAGACGTGTCAATCAAACCCGACCAGAAATTCGAAGTTTCAATAAATTCGAGATGAAAAAAGAGAATAGAGAATGTTTCATACTGCGACGCTTCCGATGGCAGTGGAGCGCTACGCATTTAGACCTGTACTCGACAATCAGGGTCATTAAGCTCTAATCACTGCAACTTTTTATAAGTTGTCTACCATGCCCATAAAAATATACTGATCTTGAGCAAGCCATTTCGTATTAAGCTGTTCTGGCTCCAATCAAAAGATCCCGATTCCCTGTTTTTAAAATGATTGCTCCATATTGATATTGAGTCGCTAACAATGTCGGTGAAGGGCTACACATTTAGACATGTACTCAGCACTCATGGTCATTAAGCTCTAACCACTACGTCATATGGACAAACAGTATTATCATGTACCTGTTATAACGATTATACGTAGATAAGAGGTCCATCATTCCTATAAAAGCTACTACTCTTGAGCAAGCTCTTTCATATTAAGCCCAACGTCTGGATTAATCCTCGGCAGAATTCATAATAGAAATGAAGTTCTGTCGCCAACTGAAAGATCCCGACAACTAAAATGATTACTCAAAATAAAAAAAAAACATATCGAAAAAAATCACAATGTTTATCAGTTTATCATCGAATTTAAATCGAAAGTAGATATGCATCAAATGAAGTATAGTTTTTTCTTAATATATTTACATGTAAAATCCTATTTAACAGATTAAATGTTTTAGTGTATTACATCTCTACTTTTTAAATACTCTTATTCACATTAGTATTAGGTGGGTAAAGTACATCAATGTACTTATATTTAATAGCAAAACAGGTATGACCTTCTTTGGTATTTCATCGGTTTGCAAGTCTAAGTTTTGTAGAAATATCCTTCATCCATAATTTTGAAATAAATGAAAAAATATTTTTTGCAATTTCAATTAATGGTAATCTAACAAATAAGCTATATGATAAACGTGATGACTTTAACTTTTCTATCGTCAACTTCCCTTACTTATGCAGCAATCATCACCTGCATACGGAGTGTATATATCTCAGTTTCTTCGATACGCAAGAGCATGCTCTACGTAATTGACAAGCAAGTTGATGAAACAAGAATATCAGTAGTCTCGTTTCAAGTCATCATTTCGTAAGTTCTAGGGTCGACCTTGTCAGCAAATACAATTTATCATTGAGTCAAATGCTGACGGACGTTTTTCATACTTATTGATAGACCATTATTTATACACTGAATTGACGACGGATTTTTCCGTTATTTCCCGATCATGACAAGGTGCACACGGCGGGTGTGACCGGTCAGAAGGGGATGCTCACTCCTCCATGGCACCTGATTCCACCTCTGATGTTTCGGAGGTCCGTGTTTACTCTCCTATTTTGTATTGTTTTATGGACTTTGATATTGAATACTGTTCGTTATCTCCACATCCTTTTTGTATTAATGTCAGTAGAATATATGTCATAATCAGCAATATATATACTCAAGAAGCAGTACAAGGGCACAGTACCAATGATGTTATTTTACGAACATATGGACATATTAATTTTGTTTGGCTTACGTGCGTTTTCAAAACAATATAAAAAATATTTGCAGATTAAAATAATATTATATCTACCCTTTACTACACATAAATAGATTCTGATTTGATAAAATTTAACCTGTCCTTGACATTCGAACTTATGTTTTTTTGTTTGTCTGTTTTGAGGTTTATCATTATTGATTATGTCACATTTAAGTGAAGTTTGATATCTTTTAATCTAGAAAATATTGAATTTTACATAATATTTCATGTACTTTTATTTACTGAGCTACTTATATAAAACATGATAATAAAGAATCAAGGTATCACAGGTGTTAAAAGTATTAGAGTAGGGGTATTATTAAAAGGTATGCTTCATTAAGTTAAATATAGCATGTATTGGGTATAATGGTTTTGAGATAAAGCAAAAAATGTATGAGTGCAACAACACCTACATAAAAAAAACCCTTATAAGATTATGCTTTTGAAGAAATCACATTACAAAAATATTCTCTCATACAGTCCTTGAACACTTTATTGTGTTCCTGGACAGAGTTATCTCTCTTTCAGCCATTTTTTATATTATACATTTTAGATTGTAAAATGCATTTCACTATACAGTTGAGCTAAAACTCATGTAATTGAAAGCTTCATTGGGTTTATTATAGGAAAAGTTCAAAAAGATTTATATCACATAATAAAACATAATAAAAAACATAATAAAAAAATCGTAATTTTTATTTGAAGATATATTAGATTATACGTACTGAAATCAGTTTGAATAATGACAAAATCAATAATGATATATCATTTATAAAAAAACAACCCATTGGGAAAAAGTTTCCTTGTCAAAAGACTTATCATTTCATTTAAGATAGATATTTAATTAATAACTGTCTAAATAAGAAAATTAATGTAATTTTTTGTATAACTCCTGGAGCTCCCAAGATCAAGGAAGAGTTCAATATGTTATAGTTTTCTTGAGTTTTACTTTTTTAAATGCTGGACCCGGAAGGGTGTCAAATTATTGTGAAAAGTTGTTTAGTCACAAACAAGTTAAGGTTTGTTTAATCAAATTTGCTTTTTCACATACAATGTAAAAAATCGGCAATGAATTTTATTTCTCTAAACACAATTTTAATCGATTTTTTTAAACCTAAGGTGTTGATCCTTCTGTTGCAGGTAGGAGTCTAAATGTGGGCAGTGGAAACCGGTCGTATAAAATGAGGTCCCGTGTCGCAGTAGGCGCTGGCACGAAAAAGATCACTCATTGATCAATGATATGGCCCTAAGCTATCCACCAGCAAGTGAAGGCGTCTCTATAGAAAGTGAAATTTTTTTAAGAGGCACATTTAACAGCAACGAAACAAACGTTATGCGAATAAAATGATTTTGGATTGAATAAAGTAAAATTTCTTTAAGAATCCACAATTTTTATCAAACCGAAATTTGAAGATAACAAACAGTATTTAATCTCAAAAATCCATCCAAGCAATTCAAGTTATAAGCAGAGAAAACACTGAATTTAAAACAACAGGTGGATCAGGTACCCTTTAGGAGTGGGCATCCCCTGCCAACCGGGCACGCTTGCTGATTGCTTCTTGTCATGAGAAGAAAAAGGGGAAATCCATGAACAATTCAATATGTACATAACAACTGGAATGAAAAGCTTCAGTTATTATAGACGGTTTGCCTTTGACATATTTGCCTTGGAGCTATACCCCTTAGCCGCCATCTTGTAGGGCAAAGCAGTGAACCTTCCTCTTTGAGCTAGCAATTTTAAACATACATGCCAGAAATATATGGGGGAAAATATTTACGATCTCAAGATTTTGAATTAATAGAAGCTTTAACAAACATATTTTCATAAGAAAAATAGTGTTAACTTTACCTCAGTAACCAGTATAACAAATTCAACTTCGTTGAATAATGAAGGGATCAGAGAATGTTGTCCTACAACATGGCGACCACGGGGAATAACTCTTGCTTAAATTAACTCAATGGAAACCTTAATTTTAGATTGAATTTGCTGGCAATGTCATTGTATCGACTATGGAACACGCAAAATGAGGACTTTAAACGAAATAGTTTAATTATTTGTTTCGTCCACTTTTTTGACAGTAAATTACATTGCACCTCAAGTTGTGAAATGTTGGAATGAAAACTCTTGCTTATCGAATCAATTGAGAGTATAAACCCCATGTGTTAGGTGATAAGGGCATGTAGCAATAGAAGTAAGGAAAAGTGACCATTGAAAAGTTAAGTTACCACGTTTTTCAGAAAACTTTGTTGTGATATCGATGTTACTATTAGTGTTTTATTTTATCTACAGGGTAGTAATGTATCCAAATATGAAAAAGATGTCTGAGACTCTTTGGTATATTTTATACTCCCTGGGATGAATCAAGTCAAAAAATAAATAAAAATTATTAGTAGTAATAATTAATTATAATACGCCGTCGATATATCACAATAAATTAATGTCGAGTTGAAGCCCACAGCAAGTGTTTTCTTCTTCTCAAAGATAACATTTTGAATAAATTCTGCTTCATATGAATATAAAAATAGGTCTGCTAACGTGCAATCTCTACCCAAGGGAATTCCGACTGCTATAAACAATTTCAATTGCTACTGAAAACACGCCGCGTAAATACATACCTAGAATTATCTCTGATCAATTTGTTAGAATCAAGATTTTTTGGTCTTTAATGTTCCGATATATAACTAATGCTGGATTAAACTGAGATATTGACTGGTTGTTTTTTTCACTTGTGAGAATTTTTACTCATATGACACACAACCATATACTGGCGACTGGTCGCTCAAAATTAGACTCGGCACTCGGGGATGGCTGGGAAGTACGGTTCTCTTATTCTGATCCATGCCCTCAATAACAGGGCTAGGAAATTTAGGTTTTTAAATTTTTTCATACGAAAGACAGGCAATTCAACCTGCAAAGTGCCAAGAATTAGGCCGCTATAGGAAATGAAAATTGAACTCAGGGCTTTCGAATCACGATGCGAGAGCAGTAAACATCACATACACTGAAGCTTTACCGATACATTTCAACTAATATAAGTTCTTTGGTTTTATAGTTGTTTTTGTTATACTGTAGACGTACTTTTTTCCACGGGGTCATAATTCCGCGGAATTTCAATTTCTGTTTAATCCGCGGGTAAAAAATTATGCGGATTTTCTAAACTGACAGTAGATGTCTTACATTAAATTTCCGCGTACATAGCGTAAAAAAGTACTTATACATTAACTCGAAATGTTTCAATGCATGGTTTTGTCATGCTTTAACTTCGATTAGTTAATTCTTGACATAATTTTAAAAAAATGCTTAAGTTAATTCATTCATTGATGTAGAAGTTAACAAGTGTATGTCGAGATATTTTAAAAAATAAACTTGTAAAAATATCTAGCCACTATTCCACCGTTCCGCATGAGACATGAATTATAAAAGTAAATGATATACTTTGAAAACAAGAGCATAAAAATATGTCCTCATTCGAGGCCCTTTTTGCGGAAATAAATCTTAAACATATATTCTACACAAATTACCTATCATTGTTGAAGAACTTTTTGCTTACTGAAATTTCCTTTTTAGAAATAAAACATAAGGAAATATAAATAAATCAAATAATAAATACAATGAAATCCATTTTCACACATTGAATTGACGTGAATAAATATATAAAGGTTCAAAGAATAAAAATTGAGAAAGGAATTGTAATATAATATTTATGTCAAGAAAAGTTATATAGACTTAACTTGACTTGTGGATACTTGAGTCACAAAATATTTCCTGACATTCGGACTTTAACAGAGCTCTGAGGTTAAAGAAAGTAGTTTTTTTGCAAACAACGACATGTTGGACGCAATATTAGCAGAACAGAAGATTCAAAGTTAGAAATGCAGTAAAGTGAGTAAAATATATTTTTATTGTGTAAAAAACAATTATAATAAAATACCAGTTACACGTCTTTTTTTTTCAATGGCAGACAGTTTTATAAGCAGCGTCTCATTATCTTTTTGTTTAATTAAGGTGATAATCCTTCTTTTCGTCGGTTAATGAAATGTTTGATGAGTCACACACACGCATGTTTATCTTATGGATATTATAAATGATCATTCGTGTACTTTTTTATGATAAATATTATTTTATTTGTTATTCATTTAATTTCATTTTAATTTATTTTGTACAAAGAGCTTCTTCTTTATTGATGAAAATAATTTTCTTTCATTATTTGTACACTACGATCGTCATTTTATATTTTGGTAGCCAAACAAAATAACTGTTAGATTGCTTGTTATTTCAAAAAAAGTTTAAGCATGTAACTAAAAAAATGCTGAAAAAAACATGTAACCAAGATTCTAACCCCAAGAGTTTTTCTTATATAAAATATATTTTTTTAAAAATGTACACGTTTGTCTTCCTAAAATTTATTTTTCTTCGATATTTCTTCAAATGACTGCAAGTGTCCTGCTGCTTAAAACATTTTGTATTCATATTTACAACATTATTTAAATTAAGTGGCAAAATCCATGGTAAATATTGGTATTTTTTTTTAAGATAAAGCAACCATTTGGCTTTTGTCGAACAGAGCTTTTAATATAACTATATAGGCCTGTCGTGAACCAAATGGTAGATATTCGTTTTGAAAGAGTTCAGAATGAATACGTGTATTTTAATCCAGTCATTTTACCAAATTTTTCATCAAAATTTGAACTAATTGCAACAGTTTCAAAGCTTAGTTTTTATTAATCTATAAGATGACCTGAATAAATTAAAAAAAAAAACAGTTTAGAAAAATTCATACACAAGAACAGAAAACACAAGAATTTCTAATCCAATTTTTTACGAAAAGTAGCGGAAAATAAACCCCCCTCATCCAAACTTGGATCCTCCTGAAACTGAAACTTGTTGCCGGTATATGAAGAAATTAGTGGAAAGAGCACAACACACCCCATACCCCATCCTGAACTAGGTTTATATGTTTTTTCCTGGATTAGGTAGGTTGTTAATGTTTTTTCTAACAAAAATATTTTTTTTAAATCTGAAACTGTTTACGCAAATCAATTTATCCTTGAATCTAAAAATAATATGTTAAGTTTTGTGTTGAACTGCCATTTACAGACAATGTATTTTTTCTTAACAGCTGGTTCATCATTCCTGATATAAAATGGCAGAAGGACTACCGTAAGAATATTAAATGAAATTATAAAAGAAGGGTCAATTTTTCACGTGTAATGTCACCAAACCGGTGTAATTATATAAAAGTATCTGCCTATATGAATATATTATATACGGTGAACTATGCTTCAGGAATATTATAAATAATTTGAAGAGAGAAGGTCATTTTTTAAAAATTTGTGTTTCAAAATTTTGAAAAATTCGTGTATAAATGATTATAAAGTCGTGTAAAAGGAAATTATAAACAAGTAATAAATTCCCCAATCAATTTCTTTAAAATATATAGTGAACAAGTTTATTCTATTGCAGAGAACAACGCTCTCAGAAATGGGATATATTTCGGATGGATCACTGGCCAAAGGAAAGACACGATGCCAGAAGAGTCAGCCAGATTCTTCCACAAATTTTGAAAGTCTTGACCTACATCTTGATGGTTCTGATTATCACCACCGGAGTGGTCTTTGCTAAAGGTGGTCTACAGGTTTTGACCACTATCCTGGGACAACACAATAAATTCCCTAGTGTAGGTTTATTCTCTGGCCTTAATTTACATTCAAATATACAAGTAAAATGATTTCAAAAAAGCGGTAATCTTATCTTTAAAGTTTATCATTTTGATACATTTTCTACAATATTCTTGCTTTGATACAGATACTAATCTTGCATAAATTTCTCATCTTAATGATTCATTGATTTTTTGTTTTTGTTTTTCAGAGAACTGTAAATCAGGATCTTATAGCTTATTTACTTCTCTTTTCCATTATAACCCCCGATGTCTTTAATTGTTTAAATGAACTTTGGAAAGCTATGCTTGGAAATAGAAAGACAGCAACATGGGATATTACATTGAAGGTATGATATGTCCTTTGCTCCATAAAGAGGGAGTTCTTTAATTAGACTTGACATTTTAGATAGATATCTTACCCTATTGCTTGTTTTCAAGCTTTTAGTTGATAGTTTACATGTATATGTGACCAAATATTATTACTGATAAACATTTACATGTAAATTGTTCTTTTGATTTCAGATAATAATAAGAGAATGCTTGCATTCCTTTGGCTTGGCTGTTCTTATATTCCTGGTTCTTCCTTATATGGACCCTATCCAAGCATGTGTTGTTATCAATGCCACTACATTCCTCCCAGGATTTATCCATATGGTCATGTACTGCAGAGAAAACAATGATGGAAAAGGAGAAATATGCAGGAAGATTAAAGTTGTTCTGAATATCATTAGCTCCGTGGTCCTACTTGTATCAGTAGCATTGGTATTGGTTTCTGTTGGTACTTCAGAAAGGAAAAATATATATGCACGGGATCCAGCTGTTGGAAACCTCTTGGTTTGGACGATTGTCTCTATCATTACATTATCTAGTAGATGGATTCCTCAGCTGAGAAACAAAGAGGATGAAAACGAATCATTCAACAAAGAGGAAAACTATGCCGTTATTAAATTCATCTCGAGGTTTTTGAGGATATGCATAACTGTTACTTTATTTTGGACACTTCTCTGTCCGGGAATTCGTGGAATTAAAGATGTTTATGAAAAGTTCCTGTCAACATCGAAAGCAGAAGGTCTCATTCCCGCCAACTGCACAATGTCGCCTAACAGAACGGCCATGTTATTGAACCCAAAGTTCAAAAACATCTCAGCGTGTGTAGACGAGGGCATCCCTCTATGGGAAGTGCTCGGTCCATTCCTGTCACATGTTATCGGGGCAATATTGACCATGCACGTCGGGGTCCTAGCCTGTCGACTTCAGATGCAGAGGATAGGGTATTCAATTCCTCTTTCCATCGCTTCCCCGATATATGTCATCCTTGTGGTAATATTGAAGAACGAGGAGAAAGATTTCATCTACCGATATTTTGAATTTAAAAATGACAGTACGAATTGGATGCTGTTCTTTGTTTTCCTTGTTGCTTGGCTAAGTCAGCTTAATATGGTTCAACACATTTGGGAGGCCCAACGTGGAGAAACCCTATTTTCGGCAAACAAGTAGGTTTTAATTTATAGCATTGTAACTGGAGTTTATGGAAATTAAAAAAAAATGTAATTGTGCAAATACAAATTCTATAATTCATTTTTGTTTACTTTTTTAAACACACCTAAAACAGAAAAAACTAACACAATAACTGCTGCTTCATTGATGTGAAATTTATTCTATACAATTATTGTGTAGTTGTTAATGCTCCTTTACTCGTTTTATGAAGAACGAAAGAACTGCATAATAAAGTATACTTCAGTAACTTAGACATCAGCTATAATATGAAGACCATAAATATAAAACATAAATTTCCTTTACAGGTTGTTTGTTTTCCCTAATTTTTGTGGTCCATTAGTTGACCTATCACTACTGCACAGTAGGAAAATAAAAAGGAAGAAAGAATTAGAAATTTATGCAGACCCATCGGGCACCAAAGTCTTCATCTGTGCTACAATGTGGCATGAGAATAGAACGGAAATGAAACAGTTACTGTCTTCAATCTTCAGGTTTTTAATATTATATTTTAAACAATATTTATGAAGTTGTAAGCTAATACGATTTTATAGATATATCTGAAAGCAAAATTTTCTGTTGATCTAGTCAATTAACAAAATTCAGTTCAAAGCTGTACAATTTAGTGGTTATGTTAAACGCATTTAAATTTGAATTGCTTAATTTTTTCAGGTTACGTAATGTACAACGGAACTATGGATTTGAAGGTAATAATTTACTTTATTTGCAAAATAAAATTTCATTGGATGTAATTTAGCATGCAAGTATGCTATATTCCTTTAATTTGAATATGCCGTAGGATTTTTGTTTTTTAATTCCTGATACTTGTAATTCCGATATAAAATAATTATATATTAAGCTCATATATAATGTTTGATACATGATAATTTCTTCAGCTCATGTATTGTTGACGCAACCTATAATTAGCTCATGCAATGTTGACACAACCTTTCTTTTGCTCATGCATTGTTGACGCAACCTTTCTTTTGCTCATGCATTGTTGACGCAACATCTAATTAGCTCATATAATGTTGACGCAAAATATATTTAGCTCACATAATGTTTGACGATGCCATGGAGACTTCCAGTGGATCGAATCTTAAGGAGAATGACTTTGTCAAGCAATTCATGGAGGTCGTAGAGGAAGTTGGAATGTAAGATTAATTACTGTATCATTATAATTTATTTGTACCTCTGGTACCATAAATCATTTGTAGTACACTGTAAATCATATCTTTGTACCTTAATAATTTACTGGAACCATTGCATTTAATCGTCAAATTTCACCGACTCAGTTCACATAACAAAGGTCGGTAAACGAATTTGGGCTGATATTATAATGGTTACTGCTCTAACAGACTTGACAGTTTTTTGACATTTCAGTGATTTCGATGTGAACGTAGGATCGCCTTATAAGTACGCAACGCCATATGGAGGGCGTGTGGAATGGAAGCTGAAAGAGGGCTGTAAACTCATTGTTCATCTAAAATATAAAGGGAAAATAAGACACAAAAAACGCTGGTCACAGGTACAGTTTTAAAAATACGTAATGTAGACATATGAGTAATAACAATATGTTATCTTTGACTTTTTCATCTGGGTTCCATTGTTTAAGAGACATGTCAAAAAGCTTTTATCTGTATGCTAGAAAAACAAACTAGGATTCATAACTTTAACAGGTGTTATTGCTTAAAGTATAAGGTAATAACGAACATTACTTAAGCTTCTATTCAAAGAACATATTAGGATCAGAGCAAACAAGGACCTCTTAAACATCAGAGGTGGGATCAGGTGCCATTGAGATTGATTGATTGTATACTGTTTAACGTCCCTCTCGAGAATGTTTCACTCATATGGAGACGCCACCACTTGCCGGTGGTGATCTGCAAATTTTGTCCTATACTCGGCATTCAGGGCCATTGAGCAGGGAGGGATCTTTTTCGTGTCAGCACCTACTGCGACAAAGGAAATCGGTTTATACGGTCTCATCCAAGGATCAGTCTTTACGCCCCACAGTGCCATTGAGAACTGAGCATTAAAATTAGATGAATAATCAAATGAAAAATATTAGTTTAAGCATTTTTATAAGGTATGATTGAAAGTAAGTGACTCCATTGAAAATTCTATGTGTCTCTTTTTTGGTTGATGTTTGTACGTCTAAGTGTTAATACATTTTTCCTATGGCAAAGAAAATGCACTTGTAAAATTGTTTCAGTATTTTTCGTTACACATGTATCATTTGATTTATATCTTCAAAATCATTCATTTTCTTTTAAAGATCATGTATATGTATTACATTGTTGGCTACAAATTAATCACCGAGTGTGCAGGAATAGATAAAATTGAGAATCCAAAACCAACACAATCCATCTTTGAAATTCTTCCGATAAACATAAGGGAAAAAGTAAGTTTAACTATTTTCCAATATATTGTGATTATAGTAATTTATTATATTCATGTAAAAGATGAACATAATGAACAGTATCAAGCTCATATATCTATAAAAAGCAATACAAAGTAGGAACACGACACACAACGACCTCAAAGACGTCTTAGGTGGGATCAGGTGCCATGAAGGAGTAAGAATCCCCGTTGATCGGTCAAACCGCCAACTGATCCTTGTATTTTTCAAACAATTTGAAAAATCCATAAACAATTTAGTGTGGAAAAGCTAACAATTTTATAAACATTTCAATCAACATTCAAATTAGTGATTTATAATAAGATCATACCATCAAAGTAAGTATATATTTTCGAATCATTTAAAGATTGCTAGTATACAACAGAGAAATTGAAAACTGCAAGAATTTCTTCAATTTATAAGAATGTTTTCTTTAATTAAAGGCGGAGAACTGGTTTATTCTTGCACTTGATGGCGATGGACTTTCAACCAAACACCTTACAACTTCTGATTGATCGGTTGATAGTCAACTTTAGATTGGGATCGGTTTGTGGACATTTTAAACCATGTGGTTCTGGTATGAATCAGTTCATTTCAATAGTACTATCTTCTAATATTATTTCCATTTTCAAACGATCGAAGATTATACATGTAGTTTGATGACTTAAAAAACTATAAAACCTCATATTTTTCTTTATTTGGGTAGAAATATTATGGATGGAATTTAAAAAATGTCACTAATGTGAGTGGAAACAAATCCCTTCTCTTCCACAGGGCCCGTTGTCTGGTATCAGAAGTTTGAATATGCTGTCGGTCATTGGTTGCAGAAGTCTGCAGAACACGTCTTTGGAAGTGTTCTCTGTAGCCCCGGATGCTTTAGTTTGTTCAGAGTGAAAGCCCTGATGGATGACAACATCATGCGGACTTATGCAACACTACCCACAGAACCACGTCATTACATTCAGTATGACCAAGGTAAACAAATACCATGTAAAATGTATTATACAAACAGGCTTATTATATCTACCTTATTCACCTTACAAATACTTTTTAATTTTGAGCAGGCGAGGATCGCTGGCTCTCCACTCTAATGCTGCAGCAAGGATATAAAATTGAATACAGTGCCGCAGCAGAGGCGGCGACTTTTGCTCCAGAAGACTTCAAAGAGTTCTTCAAACAAAGAAGAAGGTGGATTCCATCAACCATGGCAAATTTAATGGACCTACTCTCCAGTTCCACAAGAACAACCAAAATGAATCCGAACATATCTTATTTGTTTGTAACTTATCAGGTTATTTTATTTTTGTCTTCAATTTTCGGACCCTCGACGGTTCTGCTTGCTCTTCAATCGGCTCTCGGCACCGTCTTTGGAATTCATGCGTGGTTGACGTACTCGATTATATTTTGCCCTGTAGTAGTTTTTGTAATAGTCTGTCTGAAATGTAAGGATGACACACAGTTGAATGTTGCGATGGCTTTGAGCACGGCGTATGCACTTCTAATGATGGCCGTTTTAGCGGGGACGCTCGTGTCAATATTCAAAGATGGTTGGTTTACACCAACGGGAATGTTTTTCTACATTTTGACGGGGATGTTCATTTTTGCTGGATTGTTGCACCCTGACGAGCTTGGAGACCTTCTCAAAGGCTTGCTTTACTTCATATGCATTCCGGCTGGTTATCTGTTCCTGATTATTTATGCAATTTGCAATCTGAACAACATCTCTTGGGGAACAAGAGAAAATACTACTGCTGTGCTGAAAAATGCCGATAGGCGGTCGAGAAGAAAAGAAACAGAAAAGGAGATATATTTCGTAACAACAGAAATGATTGAAGGAATGGTTGAGCAAGCAAGAAAAACTGTATCGAATTCATCAATTTCCATAATACAATGGTTCAAAAATCTTGTATTACTGAAGTCACTAGAATCTGTTCAAGCTATCAACGAAAAGACTAAGGACGTGCCTGAAGAACCTATTGAAAGAGGGCAGAACATGCCCAAAGATGTGCCTAAACCAGCCTTTGAAGGGGTACGTGGAGCTAGTATCTTTAAAAAGGGTCATACTGATAGAAATAGACGCGCCCAATTTCCAGGATCTTCTTCCCAATTGACTCAGATTGACGAGGTATCATGGACAAGTAATGAGACTGAGGAAATTCACACGACGAAGCTTGATCAATGTGAAGAACAGTTTTGGAACGCATTAATTTCTACATATCTTCGTCCCATAGATGATGATCCAGATAAAAAGAAGAATGATTCAGAAAAATTGTCTGAGTTCCGATACAAGGCAGTCTTTGCTTTCTTATTTCTGAATGGCCTGTGGCTTGCTATAATGATTTCAATGAATGAAATAAAGAACCTCATCAACATCACTATTCCACAACCATCTGGTCCGCCAATAGTGATCGAGCCTCTTGGTTTCCTCTTCCTTGTAATATTCTCTCTCATGCTTCTGCTTCAGTTTATTGGGATGCTGCTGCATAGATACGAGACATTTTACCACATTTTGTCCAGAACCAAAGTAGATTGTCCTTGTAATGCACAAAGCACGCAAAATGGAAAATGCATTTGCTGTTGTTAAAGTCACTGCAACCAATGGATATTACGTTGTTAATGCATAATGAGATACGGAAAAGTAATTATATATGACTATTGAAACTAGTTTGAAAATTTTGACGAAAATACAAGAATTGCCATTAAATTTAATACTGTTGTTATAAAACCAACAATGAATGAAAAAGGTGGATGTAATAATTTAATAGTGGACCATTTCTCATATATCAACAAAGAGCCAGTGAGCTGTAGTCGAAAGAAATTATATTTCAATTTTCAGGCTAAGCGGTGACCGTGATAGTTATTTGAAATATGTCTTTGGAGACATGTCAACCCTACTTCAAACTTTTTATGATGTATTTGAAGAAAGGGGTGACCTGCTTCATTAGAAAACCCATCTGTTTATAAAATATTTCCTTTTCACTTTTATATATTTTCAGAAACACTTCCAAATTTGCTTGCAGCTTTTACATTATGTAGAAACAATGTGTGTCGCTTCGAAATTTGTTTGGAAATGGAATTTCTTGACCACCCATTCACATATTTTCTGTCAAAAATATTTCACATAAGAAAAAAAATAATATTGCTAAACGTGAGTGAGCGTATTGTATTTGGTATCAACTTGTGAATTTTAAGCAGCAGAAGTTTGAAAATGGTATGAAATATGTGGATATAACGAAAGTTTTCGAGCTCAAAATCCATTAAACATTACAAATTAGGAGCGGAGCAAACACAGACCTCCAAAACACCAGAGGTGGGATCAGGTGCCAAAGAAGAGTGGGAAAGAAATGGAAAAGTCTTTACATGTATTTTTGCTAAACCATTCCTAAATCATTCCTTGCTTATTGTGCAGTTCATATTTGATGCCTAATTATATGCTAGTTTATGAAGATGCATATTATGTTTCCCTATTTGACCACCAACATTGGTACCTCGGCAATTTTGCCATTAGACCGGGTATAACGTGGATGGTTTTATCACAGGAGAATGCAGTTTATTTCTTAAAAGAAGATGACACTGATATTAATTTTTTATATACTTATCATTATTTTATACTTGTAATAATTCGTATAATTATACAAATCTAATAATATTGTAGACTTTACCTTAATAAAATTTACATCATTAACTGTTTTGCGGTTTTATTAATCCTTGTACATGTTTTAACAAAGGATCAATGTATATATAGTCTTCAGATTTTTTTAAATTATCAAATCCCAGTTTTAAGTCCATGTCTGTCTGTCGTGAAATTGAAACATGTCACATTCTAGAATTGTTCGGTGGATCCATCATAAATCTTAAGATGTGTTGCATTTAGATTTTTTCCACCTATAAAACCAGGTACCTATAGAACGTAAATAAAGTTACATGTATTTACTAATTTAAAACATAGGTAATCAGAGATTACAGAGCTCACCTCAACGAATGTTGTCTTTAAGTAAGGCAAAGTCACACAATTACCCAACAAAAAGTGTACATCCAAAAATGCAAAATTTATGCAATTTTGATCTGATACTTTGGAATAGACTTATATAAAAACTTCAAACTAGTTCTTCATCACGAAAATGTGATCAAAATCCAGCATCTGAAGCAAGTTTAAGAGTTTTCATCCCTTGATGCATCATTTGGGTAAGTTTGGTTTATTTAAGCCTTATAGTTTCTTGGTGATAGACCTGCACCCATAACTTTTACCTGGTCCATTATCTGGAAAATGTATGTCGAATTCAGCATCCGTAGCAAGTCTATTAGTATGCATCCTAAGACGTATCATCCATGCGAGTTTGCACAACATAGGGCTAATAGTTACTTAGAAATGAAACCTGCATAAAAATTTAACCTCTTCACTCATCCAGAAAAGAATGTAGGTCAGATTGAGCATCTGAAGCCAGCCTGGTAGAATGTAACCTTAGATGTATCATCCATGCAAAGTTGGTCAATAAAGAGCTCATAGTTACTTGGAAATGAATCCTGCATCAAAAGCATTAACCTGTTCACTCATCCAGAAAATGTAGGTCATATTCAGCATCCGAAGCAAGTCTGGTAGTATGCATCCTAAGATGTACCATCCATGCAAGTTTAGTCATTATAGGCTCATTGTTACTTGGAAATAAAAAACTGCCACAAAAACTTTAACCTGTTCACTTTTTAAGAAAATGTAGGTCAGATTCAGCATCCGAAGCAAGTCTGGTAGTATGCATCCTCAGATATACCATCCATGCAAGTTTGGTCAACATAGGACTTCTAGTTACTCGGAAATGAGACCTGCACCAAAAACATTAACCTGTTCACCCAACCGGAAAATGTAGGTCATATTCAGCATCCGAAGCAAGTATGGTAGTGTACATCCTTAGATGTATCATCAATGCAAGTTTGGTCAACATAGGACTTCTAGTTACTCTAAATGAGACCTGCACCAAAAACATTAACCTGTTCACCCAACCGGAAAATGTAGGTCATATTCAGCATCCGAAGCAAGTCTGGTAAGTACATCCTTAGATGTATCATCAATACAAGTTTGGTCAACATGGGACTTCTAGTCACTCGGAAATGAGACCTGCACCAAAAACATTAACCTCTTCACTCAACCGGAAAATGTAGGTCAGATTCAGCATCCGAAGCAAGTCTGGTAGTGTATATCCTTAGATGTACCATCCATGCAAGTTTGGTCAATGTAGGCCTTATATTTCCTTGGAAATGAGACCTAAACCAAAAACTGCATCAAAAATGTTAACCTGCTCCAAAAACATTAGCCTGGTCATTCCTTTGCTGAAATTGAAACTTGACTTGTACAATGAAACACACTAGATGCATCTTCCATGCATGTCTAATCAATATAGGACATAGAAGTACTTAAAAAGAAAACTGCTCCAAAAAACTTAACCTGGGACCTGACACCGACACCGACGCCGACGCCGAGGGTATTAAAAGCTCCCCCAACTTCGTTGAGGTGAGCTAAAAAAAACAGCCGGGGCAGACAAATAGTGGAGAGTGGGGAACGGGGCATTTTGTCCAAATCCGTATCAATGGTGTACAACAAACATGTACCTCTAGGGTTTCTAGGCCTTCCCAGGTAATAATGCCCACTTCAACTTTGCAAAAGGTTTAGTTTTTAATCAAATATAAGTTTAGCGGGAAACTTTCCCTTTTTCTTCAAAATAAAGTATATTAACATGAAGTACTTATAAGCTACAAGAACTATATAATGATGTAAAATATTTTAATTCTTACTACATGATAACAAGCAATCATTTAACAAATGGAACACAAAAATCGGCATATATAAACTAAAAATCACATAGGTTTAATATAATGTAGAATATATTTCAGTATACATGTTGAGGTGTACCTTTGAACTTAAACAATATATATTCTTGTGAGATAGAGCAGTTGCATGTCAATCATGTTAAAAACTGTCATGTATCAATTGTGAATTAATGATCTACGATTATTAAAAAGCCATAAAAAACGAACAATTATGAAAATAAAATAAATTTTTGCATTTAAAAAAAGACATAACCTCAAAAAAAAAAAATAATTAAGAATAAAGTTTACTTTCGACATTTTTTGGGGAAAACCATCATGGTAAATATGTTAAATTCACTTCTGATTTTTATGGAGTAACAATACACAGCAGAGTGATAGAAATCTAATAATGGTCAACTAAAAGAGTAAAGGCATCATTAATTAATTCAGTAAAAAGTAACAATATTTTATCCACCTATTACTGTAATTCATTGTTTTATCGAACTTTTCTTCAAATTTATATCAGAAGATTTTTAAAAATGTGGAAAATAATTTTTAAAAAAAATTATAAACAGCTTTGAATAAAAACCTAAAGAAAATATATAAAATTCAAGGAATAATTAACACTTTCATTTCATATCATTTAAAAAAAAAAATCATTTCCTTTCTGCAACAAACTTAAAAAGAGATATCACTCTATATCTTAAAACATAGGTAGAAGTGTCTGATGAGACTGTAGCTCTACTGTTTTGTTCTCACATTAAAGTGGGGAAAAAAGCTGCATGTTGACCTGGAATTTAGCAACAATTATAACATTAATAAATAAGTATCAAATCATTTGTGTTTAAAGTTTTACAAAATTTATACAAAAAACACAGGATGAGTACCGTTTAAAAACAATTTTATATCATCATTTATTTACAGAACTAAGTATCACAGATACATGTAAGTTCACCTGAGTACTAAGTCATATTTTGAAATCAAAACGGTAGGAGAAGCGATTTTTAAGAAATTCATAAAAACTTATATTAGTAACCAATGAAATAAAACAAAAAGCATTATATACCTTACAACAGTCTATTTGAAAATATGTAAATATGCGTAAATGTGTAAATATACTTAGTGATATAAAATGAAACCTAAAGGGAAAGTACAATTTTGTATGAATTTTTAGTAAATTCTATACGAGTATAATAGTAGTCATTGCAACATTTCTCCTTGGATTCAAAAACTTATAAATAGAATTATGTTCTATGAACAGTATTCTTCTGCACCATGTTTAAGGAATTCTGACCAAAACTTTAGTACAAGTAGGAGTAGTGTCTTGATTGATTATAACAAGAATTTCTATTTTTACTGTTTATGACAAACGGTTGTCAAAACAAACTTAAAATGTCATTTTTTGAAAGAGATACTGATGTAAAAAGGGACTACATGTATATTTGGTAATGGCCAATATTTGCCCCCAAAATCAAACCTTAGTGCAGAAATATATAATTATGTTCTTAAACAGTGGAATGTGTGCAGGCTTCAAATTACTGAATATTTTCATGAGCCATGACGCCATTTATTTGATATGACGTCAGGAATATGACAAATATAAAATTTCCATGAATTTTACAGAAAGAGGTGTTTATTACGTCGATTTTTTGAGTAAAAGTCATGTTTGATATTTTTATTTGATGTCAGGAATATGACGTAAATGTAAAATGTAAAATTTCCATGAATTCTACAGAAAAAAGTGTTTATTACGTCGAATATTTTGAATCAAAGTAAGAGATAGCAATCTACTCCAGCCCAATAATGTGTAGAATAAAATATCAATGAAATATACAAATACTATTAGTATTGTTCTCGAGCAAGCCTGCACTCTATAAATTTGATACTACATGTAGTGAAAATTGAGCAAAATATGTCCATTTTTTTCCTCCTTGTGAAAAATAATACAAAATACCAATAGTCTGTGACATTAGGAAAGAAAAAATTGTCAATAACCTATTTTGAAACTATGATATGTTTCGTAAGTTTAGATTTCTCATGCAATATATATAAACATATAATTCAGCACATTTCAAGAAGTTTTCAAAATATGACTTTTGTGGGCAAAAATATGCAATATATCGCACAAGTCCTTTGTACATCTTTAATCCTATTGCTATAAAATACATGTACAACAGAAGAATTCTTGAATGTTATTTTTTGAAATAGATAAAAAAATGTTTACATCTTTAATCATATTGCTAAATACAACAGAAGAATTCTAGCCATTTTTTGAAAGAGATAAAAAAACTTGTACATTTCAATCACGTTACTAAATAGTAAATACAACAAAAAAATCTTTGACATGGTATGGCTATCATTGGTTCCTTTCAGAAACTAACAAAATAATGAACAATTTAATAGAAAATATGAAAAAAGAAAACAATAATAAAATATGGCTTTGAAACATGGTATGAAAGCTCTACTGCATAAAAATAAATTTTCAAAAAGTGCTTTCAAAACAACAAAATAATGAACAATTTAATAAAAACAAATGTAAAAAGAAAACAATGTATTGGCGCGTAATAAAATTTGCACATGTATTTTGAACAAACAGCTTTTGAAATAAAAATTGAAACACAATGGTTGAAAGTAGCACCCAGCAATCTACTGCATAAAAATAAATTTTCAAAAAGTGCATTTTGAATTCAGTCCTAAACTTAGTAACTTCATTTCTAAAAAAGCTGTGTATAATACATGTGGAACAGGATACCTAATAAAGATTCTAAATACTGTAAATGCATTATATTTGGTGTGCACCATATTTGGCGGAAATTGATTTTTGAACAAGTTAGGGGAGATTTGATTTAGCACATTCGTTAATGTACATATTTATGAGTATATGTGCAAGGCATTTAGCAGTTTAATTAGCGAAAATTTCTATTTGCCAAAGGTGCTAAAAAGAATACACAGCCAAATGTAATACGTTTACAGTATTCATTATACAAAGTAGAAATGCCCATGATAAAGGATACAGGTATTATAAATACAAGAAAAACTTTAAATCTTTGACATGGAAAGAAAAGATCATGGTAGCAAGTGATTATTTTTTCCTAATACAGTGGCTAAAAATTTGAAATAAAATAATTAAATAATATACACTGATATCACCACCCATATAAACTAAATGACCTTAAAGGGGATATTATTATCATTAATTTAAAACAAATATTTGTGATATCTATTCCCACTTTAAAAACTATCATAAAAAATAGCAACTTGAAACAAATTGCTACACAGCAAAATATGGGAGCTTCTTTACACCGGTATTATTCTGACCATTTTGTAAAATGGACTTTAAATATTAAAAATCTTTTTTTTTTTATTTCTTGATATTGGATGTTGAGGACCAAAGGTGATAGCTTTGTTTTGAAAAGTTTTGGAAGTAAAAATAAGTCATGTAAAAACAATAATATGCATACATGTATCTAACAAATCAAACAAGGCTCAAAATTTATATGGGTGATATTAAAAAATCTAATTTTGATTGAGGAAGCATGTCTAATTCCAGCAGTTGAAAATATGTAGATATATTTTTTATTAAAGCATATAACACATATCATATGGGATAGGATACTTTATCATGTTTTCCATAAAACAATTCAATATTTTACTTTTTCTCAATAACATTTCAACAACTTATCATTTTTGAGTTCACTAATCAGTACAAAATGTAAAAAAAAAATGTAGACATTAATTGGTATTCTCTGAATGTCTGATATGATTTTTTAAAAAAATTGAATTTTGAATGACTTAACACATATAATTATATTCGTTAACATTATTACATTAAAACATTTATAATGAAGAGCCAAAGACAGCCACTTTTGCTTTGTTATAAAAGTAATTCTTTATATGCTCTAAGTATTTTTAAAAATAAGTTTAAACGTCACGAGGAATGGAATCTCTTCACTATAAGCATCAATTCATTACTAGCATGATAAGCTATAAGCATGTTTTACTGTGCATTATTAATTTGATATATAAGTCAAAGTACATGGAATATTTCTAAAACAAAGTCCCTATAATGGTTATATTCAACAAAACAAAACAAATTAAAACTATCCCTGACAAGTACCATCAGTAACAACTATGGTCTCTATGACGTCATGTCGATTTTCGGGTTTCTCATTCCTTTTCTTTTGATAGAAATAACAGACCGTCATGGCAGTGGCACTTATAATGGTACAGGTACCAGCATAGAAGAAGGATCCCTCAAATGACCCAGTTCTGTCCTTGATCACACCTGTAAATAACAATCAGCTGTTTTACTACAAGTGTTAATATATTTCTAATAACAATCAGCTGTTTTACTACAAGTGTTAATATATTTCTAATAATAATCAGCTGTTTTACTACAAGTGTTAATATTTTACAATTAATTACCCCTTTAGAGGTCAACATGGTTAAATAAGGACCCAAGACCTGGCCCACGAGGTGACCTGACCTGACCGAGGGCGCATAGCGGCCGAGGTCAGGGCAGGTCATCGAGTGGGCCAGGTCGAGGGTCCTTATTTCACCATGTTGAACTCAAAAGGGGTAATCAATTGTTTTATTATACCGATATAATATATTGAAAAGTATGAATCTCGAACTGTTATCAATTCTTTCTTTGATCGGGATTCGCTACACTCAATATAGTGAAGTTGTTTACAATTGATGTCTGCAACTGCAAGTTGTGTAAGTTTTTGCATCATGATTTACTTATTAAAACAATATTTGGTTGATAGCGACATACATTGTTATAACAAGCGATTACTTTTCCTCTACACAGTCAAAATTTAACACAGAATTCAACTCTTTAAAGAGCCACTTCTACATTCCATTGAACTGAATTGTAACGATATTTTGAAATGAGTAAACCGAGTTAATGATAAAATTTTACCGTATTCTGTATGGTAAAGCAAAACAGACCATGCACAATTTTAAAACATGTTGTTTTTCTCGAATAATTATTATTTTATGCATTAACTTCACTCAGAAAGGAATTTTTGATTAAGAGGTCATTATTTAGCGGTCATTAATTATAATGACCGGGTCATTATATCCCACGTGCAATGATTCCTAGGTCATTTTTGCTGTAAACAGTACCAAATGGAGTCATTGTTGTGTTTTAAAGTTTTCTTACCAGCCAATCAAATTCGAGTATTATCAACAGAGGTATAATAAATTTCTAATAACAATCAGCTGTTTTACTACAGGTGTTAATATATTCCTAATCTATCTTCAAAAAAGACTTACATGTACCAAAATTCAATTTTTTTAAACAAATACCATAATTTACTATATTCAGGGAAATTCTTGAATGTTTTATTTTTTTTTTAATTTTCAACCCTTTCATCACAAGAGGGCAAATTTAAAATGGAGGAAGGGCTCAAAGAAAACAGATGGGTCAATATTGTTTTCAGGCATGCAAATAACAGGATTAAAATAATTCTGTATACAGTAAATCCATTCATATTCAGACATACCTAGAATAGGATTTCCTATTGTTAAACTCAGACCATGGGTCAGCATGGTAAGTCCCATTGCACCTGATAAATTTTCTAAACCCACGAAATCGGCTAGCACTGCAGGAAACAAGGAAAAGTATACCCCAGTACTTGATCCAAATACTGTGGATATAGTCGCAAAGTAAGAGAACTCAGTCATCAAAGGCATGCACATGATCACCAAACTAACTATCCATAGTGCAACGGCCATCATCAGATCCTTTGGCACAATGTTGAATCTTGTTATAACGATAAGGATGAATTTACCACCTAAATCTGAAGCACCAACTATAGTCAGAAGGAACACTCTTTCATTTTCTGCAATGCCTTTCTCGGCAGCTAGGGGTGGGATGTAAGTTATTATCTGTGCTGCCCCAAGGATAGCAAAGAAAGCTACAACCATCCAGATTTGAAATATTCTTATTTTCAGGCAATGGAAACCTATGATTTCTTGTAAGATTTTCATACAATTATTTTGGGACGTTTTCACTTCTCCACCGGCATTCATATTCTTGTTGTCTAACCTTGTGTCCTGACTGTGTATGCTGTACATAGAACCAACAATATCTCCTGTACAGGAAGCCACTGCTAAATCACCGCTAACAGCAACATTGTCCATAATTCTGTTCAGTGACCTTGTAGAATGATGGGTTTCTGGCTTTAAATGCTGATGGTGAAATCGCTTTTTTGTCTCTCTATGACTGTCAGAATATGTTCGGTTCCTGAAAGGTTCAAGATGGTCTTTTCTGGATATTCCTTGTAGAACGCCTTGAGGATGTTCACTGCTATTAATTGTCTCCACAGGAAATGACCCTCCATTTTTCATTTGAGCATGTGACCTCTCATTTTCCTCATGTTTGCTATTGTTTGTGTCTGTATTCTGATCTTGTAATAATTTTTCTGTTTGTTCTTCATTATTACTCTCCGATGTCTTAGAGTTTTTTCTTGATGTTTTATCATAGAAAGACAATGGTCTTAAAAGAGCTCCAACCACAAAGAAATTCAACAGAAGCCCACTCTGTATTATTAGAGCTCCACGAAGTTCATATGTGTTTAACAATGCCCGTAAGAGAAGAGGAGATAGAAGAATGCCTACGCTGGCACCAACATTGGCTAGCGTTGTAGCCAATCCTCGATATAATTTGAAGTACTGTCCTAGAATAACTAATGAAGGTCCATGGGTAAAAGCATGTGTCATTCCTGGAATAAAAAAAGAAATGAATTAAAACATGTCTATAGTACATGTACATACATTGTATAGTCATGTCATAATCTAGTTCAAGTTTTGTTATTTCAGAAACAAAATTACCCAATAAGGTGATAAATGCACAGTTGTACACCCATCTCTAATTTTCAAACATATACTTGAATATCAAGAAGAGAACTGTGACAAATATATTTTTTTACACCAAAATCATAATTCATCCTTGCATACAGAAACATAAAAATTTTAATATTTTAACAATAGCAAGCTCAAAAATGAAAAGCGGAGAACTCACCATAAAGAATTCCTTGAGAAAGAATCAGGAAGGAAATGTTTGGTAAGAAAGCATTCAGGATATAAGCTGAGAATCCTATCACCCCTCCAAACATGACAAAAACTCTATAGGAAAACAGCCTGTGACCAATGTTTAGTACCAGAAGAGCTGAAATAAAAACAAAAGATTCTTCAATTAGAAAGCATTGTCCTTAGTTCCTAAAATGTACAGCTCTCCAGCATAGCCAATGAGATGGTTGCCTATTAACATGATTTTCATGGCCTAGCTTACTGTATAAAAGAAGTCTTGCAGCTATCCCATCACCAGAGGAAATTTTGAAATATATGGAGTATTCAAGTTCAAAAGTTCAAAAATCTCAAAAGTTCTTTTTTAAAATTGGGAGCAGAACAATCATGGATCTCCAAAACCATCAGAAAACATTGTGAGTAATAAGTGAAAACAGTACTTACCTAAGAGGCTGAGGGTTACAGTTTGTATTGAGAGGGCAATAGAGATGCTGGTGGCAGAGGAATCAAACTTAGCCATGAACTCATTAAACAGAATTCCAAATGAGGCGTGTGTCCCAATCAATAACAGCTGCTGAAAGGTGCAGGCTGTAAAGAATATAAACTGATTAATATTACAGTTACTGAAGTTAACATCCAAATATTGCTAAAATTTTGATCTTATATAAGTAACCCATTGCAAAAGCCAATAGTTTTTCGTGGTTTTAATGAGAAGTGACAGGGACAATGTTTACTCTTTGTAAAGATCATAAAATTAAAAGTTTCAAACTTTGTCATTGGCAGAGTAAACTAATGGAAAGAGTTCTAAAACTGCCCCTACAAGTATATAAATTCACCTCTTCAATTTGAAATTATTGAAAGACCTACTTTCTGTTGTTGGAGAGGGAGAGAGAAAGAGAAAAGAGAGAGAGAGAAAAGAGAGATAGATGTACTACATTTTGTGATTTAAAACTAAGAAAGCGTTCATGATTGTAATAAATCTGATATCAGTTGAAAATTGTTTATTTTTGTTTTAGGGTTTTTATCATGGCCTGTCAACAAAGTGCATACCAATAATTAGAATGATTATGTAATCATTGTATTGAAAAAAAAAAGAAAAAAAGAATTTCTGAAGTCTTTAGAATTTTGAAAATAAATGTAAATGGTCATTTATAGATACATATATAAGAGTACCTATGAGGACAATCCAGGCCCATCCCCTGTCAATAGGGTATCCATCTTCCCTGCCTCGGTCCATTTTTCTGTACTATAAATCTGGCAGAAAGGTCAACAATCACTGTATCATAATTTCATCAGTACCCTCTTAAATAAATGTATCACATAACACTGTATCTCCTGAAAAGAAAGCAAGTATGATAAATATAAATTATACAAGTGGTTAATTTGAAAAAAAAAATGAAAAGTGAGTCAATGCAGAATGCAAAAGGATTGCTTGATGAATGCTCAGTCAGCACATTATGTATGCACAAAATTTATGTTACCTATAATATTTTTTGTACTTATATATTATCTTTAGCCAATGAAAGTTGATCACTCATGACTGAAAAACATTGCCACTGATAACAAACTTTGCCCTTACAATGAAGAAATATTTTTATTTGGTCTATAAAATCATTATAAATGTTGTAGCTTTTAGAAGAGGAGCAGGCCAATTTATGGAATGAATAACAAACATACATGAGTTTGTTTCCATACAAAGGTGATAATGTGTGCTCGAGCTGTGATTCAAATGTCAATTGCGAATTTTTTTCAAAAGTGGCGAAAAGAAATTCATAAGTGTCGAAAATGAATTTTTTAGATGTACCATGCACAAAATTTGTTGAGTCCTGGTTAGCTCCTTTGTTTATTCAATGTATACAGATAAGTCCCTTTGTTTATTTAATGCAGCAGAGGTGTGAAAACTGAAACCTACATGTAGGAAATCATGTCTCGCTTGAACGAACACAGCTGACTAGGTAACTAGCCTGGAGCAATAAAGGGTTACAAAATTGCTTGAAATAATATAATTTGGATTAAACAAGGGGGGATAAAGTGTTATTAGGAGATGAAATTATTAATTAAAAGATTTTTATCAACAAAATCTGGATCTATGTAGATCGTTTTTTTTTTAAACCGAAAATAGGGAAACATGACGAAAATTGTAAAGAATGGCTTAAAATTTTACCTAATAAAAATTGAAAAATGTGCACATTACACCATAAACTGACAAAGAGTGAAAAGGAAAATGGTTTGGAAACAGAATTATCTTAGTTAATTAGACTTAATTATTTACAATTACACGAGCTTGCATATTAAACCCATTGGAGTCTCCAAGTTGTTAAAATAAAGTCAAGTTTTAAACCTAATTTCATTACTTTTTAATTATACTTCTTTTCTCATTTTTCTTAATTAATGAAATGATGAAAATTTCCATTTTTAAAAAATGTCATATATTATATTTACTATGTCTGTAGCCCCCCCCCCCCCCCTCCCAGGCAAAAAAAAAAAATATAAACAAGAGGACATTTTCTGTCAAGAGTTGGCCGATATCAATTTAATATGAAATTAATTGTATAATTCCAACATTAGTTTTTTTTTTTAATGGATACTACCATAAGCTTTAAACATTACAATTTTAAATCAATGTCTGTGATAAAAATAATAAAAACAATTGAATAACATAAAGTGCATTGCATTGTCGAGAAATCAGATGTAAGTATGTCTTTCCTTTTGTCGCGAAAAGTGGCGAAAAATGTTTTTGGTCCAGTGGGAGCCCTGTAATGTGTGGAAGAGTTAAAACAAATGTCAATTTAGAAATATTTTACATGTCATAAAAATGTACAACCGATCAACCATTCTAATATTTTCATACATTAACATATGTGCCAATTTCTTTTCATGATTTCTTAAGCTGGTGGGCTCAGGTAGTGTATTCTTTATTTATGTCAAAACCACTTGTTTTGCAGTCACCAGGGATCTATATACTAAGTATATACTTAGTCTATAGGTCCATACAGTCACCAACCTTTTTCTGCCTCAAGTTCAACTGATACACAAAGTCCATGAGCTTGAATCGTTTGACCTGTCAATCAAAGTCATTGATCTTGTGATGCTGTCAAACTCTAAGCAGCTGCCTCATCGAATCCAAGTACTACTACATGCATGTATTTGCAATGTAGATTGATACATTTTTTTCAGGTAGATTCTAAATTTGATTTCAACAACCCTCGAGCTCAAAATGATTCATTGAATACAATCATTTGAAATGATCATAAGCGCATAAATTTCAAGCATTCTTTGAGTTTCTGCTAATATTTCAACATATACCAACACACCAATTATACACATTTATTTTCAAATAAAACTGGCAAATATTTTGAAATAAATTTTTTTATACTTATATATGTATGTTTTAACTGACACTGATCTTTTTATGTCATAAAACTCATTGACTTCTCGTTTAATGTTAATTACATTATGCTGTAAATAAAGAGCGAGTGGCTGCATGATTTAGATTGGGGGTAGGGGGGATCTTAATTAGTTTAATGGCAAATATACAAGTGTACATATAATTATTACAGTGTAGAACATATTTTTTTCTTTTACCATAGAATTTGATTACATGTCTATTGAATGTGTAGAGAGGAAATGTATGGTTATCCTCTTTCAGCCCCGCCAAAAATATGCTTTTTTCGTGTATATTCATTAGACTATTATTGTGTATTAATAAACTGTAAATATATAGTCGATAGTTTCATCTCAGTTATTCTTAGAACTAGTTCTTACAAACATTACTATAATAGTAACTGAAAAGAATGTTAGAAATAATCTTTTTTCGTCATGCATGTTTATCAGTCACCTTCAAAATGTTTAATTATCATCTTTCAGTGATTTGTACAGTCATTTAGGGTATTCTGAATCACTTTTTCATACATTTAGACTGCAGACAAGAAGGATAGCAAGTTAATGAATGAAATAATTTTTTTTTTAATTAATGCATAACCCATTAAGTTTACCTCTTTATTTTTTGTATGTAATAAGTATAAACCATGTTGTTAATGATTATTTGCCGTATTTGGTTATCAAACCTGTGCATGTCTTGTATAAGATATCGCGATAAGGTAAATTACCGAGTGTTGTGAAATGCGGGGTGATTTGGATTACCCTTAATGACTGTATACTAGTCTTTGACATAACCAGTTGTGAGTACACAAGTACATGTATATAGATTCGTAAATTTAACTGAAATTTAATAATTGATAACCTTTAATTTTAATCTTAGCTAACACCGTAAGACTCTTTGTTCTTCCACAGGAACTTCAGCATATTTGATAATATTAATCACAATTTAACAGGTTGGGACCAATCACCCAACTGGGATATAATAGTCCGTTTAGGATATAATATACATGTACCAAATAGGCTATAAATTTACAATGCAAAAATTGAAGTTTTTTATTTTGGCTATAAATATCATAAATCCGCATCAGGACACTTAAAAATGAATAACTTTTGGTTGACAAGTTTTCCTATATGCCCATTGTTTAGGAGATTGATCCCTTGGAAGTTCCTTAACTTCTTGGGGATCAATCTTACAAACTGTAGGGTTGCAGAAAAACTTGCTCACCAAAAGTTATTCCTTTTTAAGTGTTTTTGATGCGGCGATTTTGCGGATTTATGATATTTATTGTCAAAATAAAAAAAAATCAATTTCAATTTCATTTTGCACTGTAAATTTATAGCCCATTTGGGATACTATATCCCAAACGAACGGACTATTATATCCCATTTGGGCGATTGGTCCCAACCTGTTTAATGTTACAATACACATCATGATTGTGAACACATGTATCTATCACCTGTCTATTTTAGTATCTGTATTCTGCTCGATTTTTATGCTTATCAAGATCTAGATTAACACTAACAGTTCGCACATTACATGTACCTATCGTCACAAGCTAGAAGTGTTGTGTCCTTTCTATTTACCTACCTCAGGCACCTGCCCTGTCCAGCCAATATTCACGGCGTAAAATAGATACCGGATATAAACCTCGAAAAGTAATGTAAAAAAAGAAACCCGACAGCTTTCCGGAGACTTCATTTTTACACAGCTCATAGGGATAAGCGCTTGAAAAAAAATACAAATAAATAAATGAATGAATAAATAAATAAATCATATTATTGGAAATAAAACATTATAACAATTGAATTTTACGGAAAAAGACGAATTTATTTAAATTAAAATTTACAGCAAATATGTTTTTTCACAAGGCAGGTGGTGATTGCACAGTGTATAGTTGGGGTTGGAACGCCCCGGCCCACCCCCACCCCTTCCCCTGAAAAAAAAATCCTGGATTAGTGCCTAAAAATAGCTCCTATTATAGATATTCAATCCTTAATGTCATTAAAGTATTTTGAAGAAACATTTTAATGTAGGGCTTTATTTTCAAATTTCTTTTCCAGAATGATGATTTCAATATAGTCTTAAAAATGGAACTACATGTAATCATAAAAAAACCCTCAGTGGAATACTAACAGCTGGGCAAATATTTAATACAATGTCATGATTTTTAAAACCAATGAATTATCTGCAATGTATCCAAGCACTGAATCTGTTTTATCTGTCATCATACTGATTAACGACAAAGCAATTCTTTTCTTATCGAAGATGCTTCGCAGTATTATTTCTCAAATCAAATGTTACAGGATCATAGCTGTCTTTAGCTCTATACTGGAAAGCACAAAATTTACCTCCGGAATCACTCGTCAAGACGACTTTTGTTCAGTTTTACGGTTAAATGGATACACTGAGTAATTTCCTGGAACTAATGGGGATATTTTCTACTATTGTAGCAGGTATTTTTTCAAATAACGCAATTAAATGTTAATTTACAAATAACACTTAATACAACTAGTATATATGCGAAAGTACATGTATATACTTAAAGATCTTTTCCGTAACACTAAATAGCAAATTCATTTCAAGTTAATCATAATTTTGGAAAACTTTCTGTGACGTTATTTTAATTTTTCCCCTATATACCAACACACATGCACGCATATTTTTCAATTAAAAAATAAAAAAGAATGAGAAGTAATCAAGCCTGGTGAAGTATATATATCTTCTCAAGGTGACTTTATCACAAAAGATCCGGTGGAGGAGGGGGGGGGTTTAAAATTTTCATTTTGTATACTTAATTAAAAGGATATATAAGGTTCTTAGTCTTACTCAACTAAACACTTCCATACATTAAAAATACTTAAAATATGGAACATGATAATATCTGAGTACACCGTTTATCCGCCACATAACTGAAAATCTTCTTACTAAAGTTCTCTCATTCATATATGTATATCTAACACAAATTCATGCAAGTGTACCACAATAAAAGTCTTTCAAGTTTCACATAAAGATATTGATAATGTCACACAATTCTACTGAAATCTTATATGTAATGAATTAACAGAAAACTAAACACCAATCTTATTAACAGAAAAATCTTGTTACCAAGGGTGGACATTTCACCTCGACCATTGCTATAAGTCGTTTCCAGAGCCGCGTGCTTGGCGGGAAGCACGTGCTTATTGTCGTCTGTTTCCAGAAGGAGACCTCGCCTGCTTCATCACTGCAGCCGATCAACACTTTGTTCAAACCGAGGTCATTCAACGCCGATCAGAACCTTACTGGATAGGACTTCAAGGAAATGTAAATATTGTTCCACTTTCTCTACTGGTCGAAGACCAAAACTTGCGTTTTCATAAATTATAGATAACGAAAATAAGCGCATATCCATAGGATAAATACACATTGGAAACAGAGCAAACGCGGACCCTTAATTAACAGATTAGAAATATGGGATCAAGACAGCAAAGCAAATTTAACACTCACCTAATTTTTAAAGTATCAGAGATGGGATCAGATGCTATTGGGGAGTAAGAATCCCCTGTCGACCATGGTCACACAACCCGTCTGCTTTTTACGGACAAATGAAACAATTTATAATCAAGAAAATTTTAAATTTTTTGGATTTAAATTTTTTTTTGTTACAGAAAAACTAGCTATTCAAATCTGGACTTCCAGTTTTTTTAGTTTACTTGCTCAAAAAATGGCGGCTTTTTTTTCTAAAAAAAATCTGTTGATATTTCAGCTATCATCTTGGACATGGGCATCTGGATCTGATATCAGCGCTTTCTCCAGTTTTAGAGGCGGATCCACAAATTTAATAGGTAACACTAACAAGACGTTTAACTATAATTTGTAGAGTAGCTTTAAGTGTAGACATGTATTTAAATAAAATAGGATAATTGAATAATTAAAATATAATTATCAATTATTAAAGTCAATCTTATACCCGCTATCTTGAACTGGAAAAAAAATATTTCGCAGGAGATGCAAAACATTGAGGATTAAATTTCTTTATAGTATTAAATACTAAAAGAAAACTGCGTCGCACTTCTAAATCACTTTGACATATCCATTGGATTCAAGACTACGTTGTTCGAGACGCATGCCAAAATTCACGTAACAACATCCGTTGAAAATAGATTGATTTTCATTTAGGCAAATATATGCTGTAATTGATGTTAAATCTTTTGTACTCTTTATCAGGAAATTCCGGTGACAATTTGTGTGTGATTCTAAGGAACAGCTGGTGGACGGCAGTGCCATGCGATGAAAGCAATCGTTTTATTTGTCAGGCAAAGAGCGTAGGTGGGGGTGAACTTATTTTCATCATTTACATTAACACATTAAGCTAACCGTGGTTTAATGTACTTTTTGCTATATGACTTAAAGTTTTATTAATTTTCAGGTATTCTATTACTTTTATTATTAATTTTTCATTTTCAAATTTCAAAGATTATTTACATAATGAATATGATTTCTTAATTTCCAACGCTATAGGCATTCTGCGCGCCTTGTTCCCCCATCTTCTTTCAAAGATGTTGAGTATGCGATTTCATACTATTGTAAGAAAGGAAAGTTTATAATATATTTATAAAATAATAAAGCTGTTTCAAGCCTGTAAGATTAAAATGTACGACTTTTCTGTACCGTATATATACCACTACCCCCCACAATAAACTAAAAGCTGTGTCTTTTTTTTCTTTCTTTTTTTTCTCTCTCGATAAAACAGACAACCGTTTCTTTAAAAAGAAATGGAACTCAATCTATCTTGTGATTGTTCATCAACAAAATTACCTTCTTTTAAATCAATCTGATTCTACACATAAATGAAGTTCATGTTAAAAAGATGCTTGAATTCCTCATAGACAACACTTGTGTAGTCTTCGGAGACCAGGTCTTCCAACAAAATGTTGGAATGCAGATGGGCACTTATTATGTTCCTTTATTCGCTAACTTTTTAAAATTTTCCTATGAAGCAGACTTTAAAAATTTTACTCGAGAAAAAGCAAACACATGCTGTGGCCTTCTAATTCTTGACCTTTGGATTTATAGACGATTATTATCAATTTACAATGTTTATTTTCATTTCATGTCGATTCAATATATTACAGTGAGCTTGTAATAAAAGGCACCACAGATTCTTGTGCATCTGTTTCGTATTCGAATGTTTTACTGTCAATAGACAATATAGGCAAACTAACAACAAAATTGTATGACAGACAAGATGATTTCAACTTTTCCATCGTAAGCTTTCCTCATTTATATGATAATTACCCTCTAGCATCTCCTAACTTTTTCGAGACTCGAGAGAAAACTCCGAGTACAAACAGTTTTTAAACCGAAGCAGACTACTGGCGGATAAGTTGATGTTACAAGGATTTCAAGATCGAAGTAGAAGTCGGCATTTTGTAATTTTTTTTTTCAAAGAAGTCGATCATTATAATGACCTTGTCTCTCATTCTGTCTTATTTCATGCAAGGGCCTTTGTTTTTACTCTGAATTGATTACGGGATGTTCCATCCTTTTGATCACTAAATAGGACTCATGACGGATGTGACCGGTCAACAGGGGGTGCTTACTTTTCATTCGTACCTAATCCCAACCCTGGAATTTCCAGGTGTTTGTGTTTGATGCCCTTTACAGATTTATGTTGTTTGTATGTTTTCTTCATGAGCTGGGCCATTGTTCGTTATTGTTGCCTTTTTCTTTTAAAATGTTTTTTAAAAGGAATGATTCATTTGTAGAGTGTCACACAGAATTAGGATGGATCATGACTATTTCAAAACACTGCATCAAAGTGATGGCAGCACCCTCTGGGTGGTACGATGGACGAAACACGTGCAGACGACAAGGCGCGGATCTTGCTCGTTTTCACAGCAGAAGTGAACTTAACTTCCTCACACAAAACTTGAGGTATTCTAAATCATGTTGTAAATTTTGTAATTACAACTAAAATTTAGAACATGACAAATTCATTGCCTGCGACCATGAATCTTAGCATTATGACATAACGTACTTCCTATGTGATTTTTAGCTTGCCATATAATCAGTACTGGGTGGACCTAGGTTCTTTCGGGTTAGTACAGGCGTTTCTCTGATTGCTTTACACAAACATAGCTAAAACTAATGTGTGAAGAATACTTATTATCTACGCGGTATAAAGTGCGAAATATGTATTTATTATTTAAAGCGGATGATTGTGATAAAGAATCAACCCTTGCAAAGCTTATGTGAACTATTAAATCATATTTGAAATGAAATATATGAAACTTTAAAGTATGTATAGTTTACCATTTCAAAAAAAGTTGAATTCTTTTCACTCCACTTAGATCCAACTGTGAAGGGATTAACATAACAGAAAATAGAGTGGATCCTTTCTACGAAAATTGCAGTATCCATCAAATGTTTATTTGTGAAATAAGTAAGAATTAAACTTCAAATTTTAAAAACCTTTCTAACATTTTTAAAAATCAAAAACAAAATGTCATCAACATACATTGTCTTACAAAAAGGATGAAGTTTCAGAACATATTTTAAAACTTCCATCTTGGGACAAATTAACATCACACAAAAGCAACAAAATTCATTTTGTTGTGTTCTTAGATACATAACTTGCTGTTAATTTTTGTCGCACATTGTTGTATCCGTTCATTTTTCTCCGGCTCCTGCGCATCACGTGATGAAGAGTACGGATGTACGTCAATGTTCTGTATTTCACGGAATCTTCTGTGTAATGGACGTGGGGATTGCCCCACCGGAAGTGACGAATCTATCTCTTTATGTGGTATACTTAAAAAAATGAATTGTTTATGTTGTTTAATTAAAGAATATGTATAATTTTAAAAGAAAAGATTATCCCTCATATTTAATATTTGATTATGCTCGTTAATGTCTATTTTCTGGAATCTACTTAATTGCTACTCCAGATTTCTGGAATCTTCGAAAAATGAACTTTCTACCTGATTTAATTCTCTAGATTTTTTCTGCCAGCGCTAATTTTCTTGCTATTAATTTTGATGCACGAATTTTTAATCATGATTTCCATAAACTATATACATAAAAATCTCTTTCTTTATTTTATTCTTGCACTATTATTTAAGTCTGCTCCTGTGGAATAATATGGCTCCGTGTCAAGAAATATTTTTCAACTTTCCAAGCCGGAGTGAGATGTCCATCTATACAGTGTTGCTAAGGAGCTATCCTTAAAATTGACATGGGACGGGGGATGCAGAGTTCACTATTAACATTGAGAACTCAACAATCCTATACTAACTACATTGTACCCTTACATCCTAGAACCAAAGAAGTTCAAGGATGCGAGTACTTAATTTTTCAATTTTTTTTTGTGTACAAAACGAAATTATTATAAGATATAGTGTTTGTTTTCACGTGCAAGAATAAAGATAAATTCTTGCAATAATGATTAGCAGTAGCTGTTTAATACATTAAAGGTATGGGTAGGGCAAACAATTAAAAATAAATTAATAATTAATTAGCACTGTTTTTATTTTTCTTCGTCAGAAAAATTGACAGTGGTCTTGAATTTATTCCAAACGGTGCGTAAAGCATTAAATGTTCCCCCTTTAAATCCAAATAAATAAAAGAAACTTGGAAAGAAGCTTTTTTTTCTAGTATGGGAATGTTCTGAACCTATCCCATCACAATATTTCTGTCACTCTTCACAAGACTGAAATTCAAAGCTGTTTAATATAATCCACCAGTATTTGAGCTCAATTTTGAATGTGCTTCAATAAGTATACCTTATATAAATATTGCATGTAGTTGAGTGTAACATTGAAAATTTTCACCCCAAGAAAACCATTATCCACCGAGGTGCAGTCGAGGGTGACAATGGTTTTCTAGGGGTGAAAATTTTCAATGTTACACTCAACTACATGCAATATTTATTATATTATACTGAATGTTTTATACAATATATTTAATAGTGAACCGTGCGCGCATAAATTCTGCACAGTCGCTATTTTTTGGAATATCACCTGTCGTCAAGCAGTGTTGACTGTTGCTACACAGGAGGGTGTGGCTTCATTATTCAGTGAGTAATAGTGTTTTTTAACCAATGTTTCTTGACAAATCAGATTCAAGTAATTTACATGAAAGTATAATATATTCCAATACATCATCTTCTTAGAAACCATCAAATATGTGATATACTTGCTTTTTTAGGAAGCCTAAATATAATGTATACATTATGAGAACATAATTATTCAATGGAAAAACTGAAGAGGAATATAGTAAATCTATTGTTTCCTGTTTTTATTTAATCATTCCTTTTGGTTTTGTTTGCTGTTTTCCTTTTTCATGTAGAAATCCAGTGTTGATATGGATCCATCTACACTGGATTCACCCCCCCCCCCAATCCATTTTAGATTTTAGAACTGAATATCATTGGAAGTTTTTTCAGGTAAGTCCACTGTAACAGAGGTTTCATCTGAGGACGTCACAGAACAGCCTTATATAAGCAGCTCAGCCAACCAACGTAAGAATTAAAGGTTTTTAATGTTAAATATAAAAAAAATGAATTAAAATAATTTATTTATTTATTAAACTTAAGCTTCTTAATATAAATGTACATGTTATGCGTAAGCAAACTGTACTGAGAAATATTGTAATGGACAATTTGTCAAGTTCTTAATTAAACTTGGGAAGTGTTAATTGACAAGGTTCTATAAAAAGCCCGATTAATTAACACATGAATTAGACCTATAATTTTATATAATTTGGTATATGATACCTAAATTATATAGATATGTTAATGTAGTAGAAACTATTTTTTGAAATTATGTTATCATACATTTATTTTGTCGGATAAAATGGAAACATTAAATTTTATAAAATTTATCCTTTTGGCAGGTGATCAATTCTCTATATCCATGTCATCGCAAAACACACCAAGTTCTTCCTTAACAGTAACTGTCGACATAGGCCAAGGTAAGCTACGAAGGTTTCCTGACAGTTACTTTTAAAGCTGTCTTTACTAATTTGTAAAACACATAAAAATTGAAAAATTTTTAACTCAAGACTACAAGATCTAAATTAGCGTGTTTGATACAGATATACATGATTTTCTATTATTCTTTTAGTCAAAGCTATTTATATTTTTGTGCCAATGAGAAATTATGTATTGCGAAATAATACTGACCTCAAAGTTAACAATTTCTCTTAAAGCAAGTGTTTGTTTTAGGGAAAAAATAATGCCATATTTCCCGATTTCTTATGGTTAAGAACTTATATTTTTACAGGACTTTTGCTTACAGATGAAATTACAGAGGCTTCCATACAGGTATTTTTGGGGGTTTTCAATGCATCTTTTTCAAAAAATATTTTTAACATTAACCATAGCATAAAATATCAAGCCACTTTATTGAATCTCATTGGAATCGTTTTTGTCTGTTATAGTAAATGCAATATCATGAAATTGATATTATTATATGCCATATGGCAATACAGAGCGTATTATGTACGTGCTGATGCACACATGTCATAATAATTTTCAAATGCAGTCACTGTAATTTATTACTTTGTCTGATCTTTACTGTGGCATATTAATTGCAAATATCCTGACTAGATGAGATAAAAAAAAATGGTGCATCTCGACCAGCAAGTTATTTTGACTTGAAATGATAAAAATACGATGGCCGATATCAGCCTGTACATATTTCGACTGCTATTGAAATTTGTACATCTAAAATGTACATTGACATGTACATTTTGCAATGACAGTGCACACTTCGTGTTCTTAACTTTTTTCTGTACATGTACATTTTGCAATGACAGTGCACACTTTATGCTCTCAACTTTTGTCTGTACATGTACAAAATGACAAAAAGGCAAATGTCAAAACGTGAACGGTTGAAACACATTTGCTTCTGATTACAATTCCTGGTCGGCGAAAAACGATTAAATATGAATTAGATTAGACAAGGCACCGAGAAGATTAATTTTGCGATAAAAAGGATGAGAAATATTAAAAGAAAATGTAAACATTCTTGTAAACATTAAAACTAATGATAAAATTTGTCTCCTTTTACTGAAAAGAATTAAATTCCCATAGATTAAAATCATCTTCCACAAACATTTCTTATACAATGAATTGCCCCCATCCAACCCAGAAAATGATGACTATATAGTTTACACTCCTTTTTGATCAAAAGTAAAGGGAAGTTGCAAAGGACATTTTATAATCGAGTAAGAGTCTAACCATAATATAACGTAAGATTAATTTGTGACCTCAACTGTAACCTTTGACCATCATTTGAAAAACTTTAACATTGCGTTTCATAAAGTATTCAGTAATTAACCATAACACAATACTTTCTTGAAAAAACAAAAGGTTTTAAGTGTTTTCGACTTTGCTACCCTTAAAACATCTTACAGGTGTATACTACGTCTACGTCCCACCCCCGAATTGTGTTATCATTGCTGGCATAGTGTTTTACAAAACAAATCTTGTTTTGATATTAATTGTTCAACTTTTCCCGTTGTACACTTTTATTCATATTTAATGGTTTTTCGCCGACCAGGAATTGTAATTAAGAGCATATGCGTTTCAACCGCTCACGTTTTGACATTTGCCTTTTTGCCATTTTGTACATGTACAGACAAAAATTAAGAGCACAAAGTGTGCACTGTCATTGCAAAATGTACATGTACAGAAAAAAGTTAAGAACACGAAGTGTGCACTGTCATTGCAAAATGTACATGTCAATGTACATTTTAGATGTACAAATTTTAAAAGCAGTCGGAATTTGTACAGGCTTATATCGGCCATCGTATAAAAAAGTGCTTGGCATAAATATTCCACAATAGATCTTCATAAGAACTTGTTTTTATCATTTATTTTTATAGATATTTAAAGCTTTGAAAAGGAAACATTCATACATGATAAGCAAACTTCGAATAATCATTTTTTTACCGATTTAAATAGATCAATCTTAAGAAAATTATTCTTGTTTTTGTTCGGAAACACATCAGAAAACAATGGCATTAGGTAGAATTTTATTTCTAGAAAACCTCTTCTCAGTCATTACTAGGTCTGGACCATTTCCAGATATGGATATCAAGACCGATAATTGAAAGTTATTATAAATATACATCATCTGATTGGTCAGAAGGATTACTCAGTACCCAGCAGGCACACAACATTGAATAAACTTTGAATCAACGTTGTTTTTCTATGTTGATTCAACATTGATTTTTTGTTAGATTTTGAAAATTTGTATCAATGTTGAAGTCTTAACATTGAATCAACATTGATAATCAACGTTGATTATATGTTGAAAAACAGTTGATTCAACATTTATTCAATTATTTATTTTGGAAAGGGGGTGTCATTTAGTAATAAAATACTTTAAATTTCAACCGTTTTATTGCACGGTTGCTTAGATGCCTTTATAATTGTTGAAGGGATAGCGACCCTCTGACAAGACAGAGAACTTTCAAAGTACAAAATAGTAATACTACTCAGTTTTCTTACTCAGTTTCCTGAGACCTCTGAGTAGTCAATTTGATGAGATCAAAGATAAGATGGGAACATTACTTTCTATTTCTTTTGCAAATGTCTTTGTAATTATCTTATTATATTTAATAATAAAACATTTAAATCCAACACAAATGCCTTATAAATTGAATAAGTTGTATCTTTTTAAATACCATTTTAAAAATGGTTTAAAATTTCAAGTACTTATTACAGTATTTTAATGAGAATGACTTTTTTTTCACATGAAGAAATATTTAGAAGAAAGATAACTCCTCATCACAGATATATTTTTTCTTACATTCACATACAACATTGTGATTTTCTGACTTAGGAATCATCGCTCCATGATGTTTTCTAACATGATTTAAATAGGTATAATATCAAGTATTATTTTCATATGCACCTCATATATTATATTTAATGTTGTGGTAATAAATCGTTACTCTTTCTATTCTCTATGTTCAATTTCTTCATTTCATGCTCTGCACATAAAAATCATTTCTGAAAAAATACAGTGCTTTATATTTCAAACTATTTTCCATGTGGCTCTAATGTTATTGTTGTTTATGAAAATCAATCCCTTAAATGAAAACATACGGTAGAAAAAAAATTTATATATTTTAAACAGTAAGTGTTTAATTTCCTATCAATAGTTAATTGTGTTACAATAATTTTCACCAAAATACATTTTATAAATTAATCATGTTACAAAACCCGAGCATTTACAAACGTTTTGTATTTTCTCATGTGGTCATGAAATAGTCCATAACATGAAACCATTCCAAGATAAGATGCAAATCTTATACGGTACAACTTTTGATGCACCAGATATGCATTTCGACAAATTATGTCTCTTCAATGATACTAGTACTCTGACATGCCGAAATGTTTTCTTTAAAGAGTATTTTTTTTTATTAAATCTTGATGTTGAGTCCTGAGGGTTGTGTTTTGCTGTCTTTTTGAATATTTTCTAGATGTCCTACTGCGTATCCTCTTAATTCGTACTTTGGCAAATTCGTACTGAATTCATATTTATTATTGAATGTGAAAAAGAATTCTATATTTACCATCCTTGTTAGTTATAATAGTTAGTAATGATATACAGTAGTGATACTTTGTCAAGTCCGACCTTGTAATGGTCCGACAGTGTTATAGTCCGACACTATCATAGTCCAAATTATCTATCAGCAAAAAATAGGATTGGCCCCCTCAGCGAAGATCCGATGTTGAATCAATGTTGGCAATCCAACTCAATTTGAATTCAATGTTGATTCAACGTTAAATTTTCAACGTGGAAAAGTCAACGTTGAATCAATATTGAATCTAGATTTATCAACGTCTAAACCCAACTTTAACTAATATTCAACGTTTAAACAACGTTGTGTGCCTGCTGGGTAGTAGCTGCAGAACAGTAGCTTTCTGCTAAGAAAATTCGGACAAATAAAACAAAGCTACAGACAGAAGCGTCGTAAAAATCCTTCGATTTAAGCAGCTGTATTTTGTTCACTCACTTCGGGTATTATTTCTTGTATTTTATGCCTTTTCCTCTTTAGAAGTTGTATCCGATAATTAATCATACATTTTCTGCCTATACTAGGGTGTGCATAGGTTCTTTGAAAGATAGAGCAAGATCTTCAACATTGACGTCGGAATGGAAATATTTTCAACCGATATTTGAAAACCATAAATGGCTATTTGGGGACCTTTGTAAGGAAAATATAATATCAAAAATAGTTTTGAAATGCATGATTAATTATCACGTATCATTCTTTAAGCAGGGAAATCTAAAAATACCAGAAAAAATGCTCGAAGTGAGCGACAAAAAAAAAAAAAGGCCGCAGCGTAAATCAAAGGGTATAACACATGGATCTTCGAATTCTCTCTGCTTTATCTAAAGCAGAGAGCTACAGTTTCGCAGATAAAGTATTAGCTATAGAACATAGTTTAATGTTCTGTAAATTAATAAGAAAGTTATTGCTCTTGACCTCCATGGAAATCGTCCAAACCTGTTAAACAATAATAAACACAATATTTTTAATGGTAATCTAAAATAGAAAATGCAAGTATTTGTTTCTGAATTAAATACTTGAATGTTTTGGCTTTTATTTTCAGTGTTTCATAGGTTTGACTTAAAATCTATATAATTTATTTCATACAATGTTTTTTTTTCCTTCAATTCATATATCTTAGCATACTGATAGGAATATTCAATAGCATAGGATTACTCTTTTTCTAAACATAATATACAATTTCATGTTAATATTATACTTTAACTCAGAAATAATGTAGGATATACTTATGTTAAAGTTGATCATAGACTACTTTCATATTTAATTTGTTAATAAACCTAGATTTCATTAAAATACAAATATCAACTTGGGAAGATTATTTTTACAAAATATTTTATGCTGATAAAGAAAATATATATATCAAGTTCAGCTCGAATTAAAAAAAATCAGTTTTTATGTATGTTATATATCAAAGCTTAATATTTTTCTACTTACTGTTATATGAAAATTTCATTTGACATATGATAAATAAGTATCTAAGATCAAGTAAGTAAATTTTATATTCAATGAAATATACGGAGAAAACGAACAGTATTCAAGCCTAAGAGTTCATTTCGCAATTGAAACAAAATTCTAGCAAGGCAAACACAGACCTGTAAAACATCAGAGGTTGGATCAGATGCCATCTGACCTTAATATGATTATCAATTTTGTTTTATTTGTTTTAAACGAAGTAGTGAGAATTTCTGAATATGCTGGATTCCTTAAATTTTTTGATGTTTTGATTAACGAGGA